TAGTACTATAAACAATTAAAATGAAAAAGGTGGTAAGGAACAAAAAGTATCTAGTTACCCTTTGTAGTGGTAGTAGCTTCAGATATAATAACAGTTTTGAATATAACATTAAAATTATTATTATTTGCACAGCACCCCCGGTTCGGAATTGCTTCAGAAGAAGAAACAGAAGCGCAAGCGCAAGACGAAACTGCCGCCCAACGCCGACCTCTCCAAACCTCCGGATCCAGAAAGGTACCACTTTAATAAAATTGTAGCCTAAATACTAAATACCAATAAAAAAAAACTAAACCCATCCCATTATAATTCACAGGGGATGAATTTTTCTATACACCTCATCCCGCTCCTTCAATAAACTTGTGATGATGTGCTTTAATAAATGTGATATTTCAGATGGCTACCAAAATACGAGCGAACGGCGTACCGCAAGCGTCGCGGCGTGCGGCGTGACGTCATCAAGGGCTCGCAGGGGATGACCACCACTGCCACAGACCAGTAGTCAGTATTCAATTTTATTGGATAACCATTTTCATGTTTATTACTAAAACACACTGGTCTTCCGAAAAGAGCCCGAGGAAGATCAGTTTTAAGTTGTAAATCTTTTATTTTTAGGGCAAAAGTCATAATATTAGCCCATGCCAAGTGTCACTGCCCTCTTAGTGGTATTTTTTATCGCTCCGAAAATGTAATCCATTCACGGAGTTGAGTAACCACATACATAAAAATCCGAAGCAAAGGCATTTCGAATGACAGTGCTGTGATTAATCACACTTATCTTTTTACACCCAATAAACAATTCCCATATGACGTAGTGTTCTAAAGCCTGGTCCGTGAGCAGGTAGAATTTTGTTCAATGACCCCTAGCTACCCATCCTTATCGCTCGCGCGTAATTATATTGCTGTCGCGACTGTGCGACTAGCACCCGCAGTGAGTGATTACGGTAATTTTTAACGTCACCAATCCAGACGCGTTTCATCGATTCTGCGATACGATTGGTCAGCGTAATGATCAAAACAGCGTACGTCAGCTGTTTTGACCAATCGTATCGCAGAATTATGAAGCGCGTCTGGATTGGAGACGTTAAAAATTACCGTAATCGGGGCTCAGGCTTTAACAGTGTTCTTATCCCTTCCAGCGACATGAGCAAGCAACAGCCGAGCGCGGCGGCGGCCACGGCTGCCAAGAGCCCGCGCGTGGAACCCAAACAGCCCGAAAGCGCGTGGCAGCGCAAGCAGCAGCAGAAAAAGGGCAAGGGCAAAGCCCGCAAGTGGTAGTGGATAATAAACATTGTTATATAGAAAAAATGGTTTTTTCTACCCCTTTGACGATTCCATCCACCCTCATGTTCACTAATTTCACCCCATACAAGATGAAATTTCAAACCCATTGCACTCCATTTTGGGATGAAATTCCATGCGTAGAGTTGCCAGGCGTCAGTTAGGCTTTTTGATTGCGTGTCCGGCCTGTCCGGCTTTTGTTAGGCTTTTTATTTGGCTGCCGCGCCAGGCGAAAGTCGAGCCACAGAATAATATGAAGCGCACGCATCAGGATGTTGGGCAACCGATGTCACATGTCCGGCTTTTAGGGTAAAATGTCCGGCCAAATGAAGCACGGAATCTGGATTTATTTAATTTACAGTGTTATCTATCTGAAATTAACATTAGTCCACTAATCAAAAAAGATCAATGATTCAAACTCTGCAAATATCATCTAACATTCATTGATCTAAACATTTGTGAATATAAAATGAAATAATATTCTCTCTCCCCACTACACCGTATCATACCATGACCGTGCTAGGAACGTGTCAGGCACGAAAAGCAACACGATACGCTCTACTATGCCCACTGAACGGATCGACGGCGTTCTGTGCCCGTATATCCCGTATGATCCCGCACAAAGCGTGTCAGCACCGGCAAAATATTCTCGCCAACATTTTGTTGACGCTCCGTGCATGGCATGCGACGGTGTTGGTCGGTGACGGAACGGTCTACTGGGGAACAGTCATACTTTTCAATACAAATAATATTTATTTGCCTGACACGTTCCTAGCACGGTCATGGTCTATGATACGGTGTAGTGGGTAGAGACCTATATTCAAATAAAGAAGAAAAACATTTATGTAATGTTAAAACATTTATTTTTATTATTTCTATAAACTTACACCTAAATTAAAATTATCTCTTAGCATTCTTCCTTTTAGACTTTCCTGGCCTCTGGTTCTTCTTGCTATTAGGCTTAAAGTTCTTGTTTTTGAAATTGGTAGGCCTCTTCTTGGCTGAACTGTTGAAACCATCCATTTGGTTGGAAGATTCTCTAGTGTTCAACTTGGAACCCTTCTTTTTGCCACCAAAGCCAAACTTCTTGTCTTTTGAAGCCCGTTTCTTGATTGCTCTGTTGCTCATTGATGTCTTGCCTTTGTTGTTCTTACCCTTATTATTGTTATTGTCTTCTAAAAAGTCTAGATCAGCTGATTTACCTTTTCTCACTCTCTTCAGTTGTTCTAACATTTGTTTCTTTTCTGCTGCTTGTTTCAATTTTGCATCAATCTGAAATTATAATTAAATATTAGATATAGCTTTCATGAGAGAGAAGTATGAGAACCGTAATTACAACACAACACATACATATTTGTCTGTGACTTTTTATTATTATAGCTTTACATTCTACATTTAAACAATTTTATTTAATTAATCCGTAAGTATTTCCCTTGTTTGTGGATTCTGTGACATAACTTGTACTTATTTTTGACAGTTTAAACATACCTGGACTCGTTTAGCTATCTTCTTTTGGTCTCTGAGTTGCCGGACCTTTTCAGTGCGAGCCTGCGCTGCCTGCTTGGCCATGAGGTTCTTGCGGACCTTCTGCATGTGCTCGTCTGTCTTAGCCATCTCCGCGAAGTAGTCGTCAGGCCTGAAACATGCAGAGATAGTAAAATAAGTTAGTAATATGCAGGCCAAGTTTCCTCAAAGTGGATAAAAAGGGGCAATATTGTTGTACCATATATTTATCATATTCAAGGGGAAGGAAACTTTTCTGAGTGTATACTATATGTCTGATTGAGAGTACTAAGGAATTGAATGTTATTTTTCTTACAAACATTATCCCAATAAACTATAAATGGTTGGTTGAGCTTCACTCACCTTCTAGTGGGTATGTTAAGTTCTTTCAGCCGCTTTATGCCTTCCACAACTGCTGCCTGTGCCTGCCGATGAATCAAGTTCTCACGCTTGAACTCATTCAATACTGGATCTTGGGAGGCATCATACTCTTTCGCACCTCTGCTGTTCTCTTTGATATTTCTGGAGGAAAAAAAACATTTATGAACATCTTTTAATTTTACTTCATCTATAATCATTGACAACTGTTGTAATTAACTGTAAAACCCTGGGTTTTCTAAATAATTAGGTCAGAAACTCAGTAAAAAAGTTGCACGGCTTTTAATGTGTGTAAACATGAGCTCCACTCACTTTCTTCTTTGAGCTGTTTCTTGCATTTGTAGAGCTACATCGGGAGCCATCGGCGCCACACTTGTCACCAAATCCAGCGTTTCGATCCATGGTAATTTCAGCTTGAATTCCTTCAGTTTTGTCTTTAGATCAGCAACATTGTTCGTGTAAGTTTTTTGAACCTTCTCTATTTCTTCATTCAAGCCTGGCTTTAGTAAGCCCTTAGCGAAAGCTTCTTGTAACTAGAAATAATAAAAGGAGATTAAATATAATCAGAAATAATAAAAACAGCATAAAGTTTTGCGTTAACGAAAAAATAAACTAACCTCTTCATCTGAATCCACGTCAGTATCGCTATCATTTAAAATGAAATCCGTCATCGTAGAACTGTTCACTAATTATTAATTAAAATTAATTTCACTCCAAGTGTTTAAAACTTTGTATTTATTTTCTAGTATTCACTATCAAAAAATAACCTCAAAACAACCGGATTGACACAATCAAGCATGGTACATTTTTTTTTTACACACACAGATTTTAAAGAAATGGCGCAGGCATAAAGCTTTTATGGGCGCAGGTACACTATGCGGGAAATTGGCACCACCAGTGTGAACACAATCTCGGTTACTTTCTCCATCCCCCACTCGCCGTGCGCACGTGCGCGCCCATACTTCGCTAGCTAGCTTCGGCTAGTAGTTCGACTTGAACAATTTTCCGCATAGTGTACTTGCACCACAAGAAAGACACCTCTCCAGCCAGACAACACTGCGACGCTATTGCATATTTCACAGAGGATAACGGGAAAAGGTGGTCGACTTTTTCTGGGAACAATACTAAGGAACAATAATAAAATTATTTGTCCCACAGTGTCGACAGCGTGCCATTATTAATTTCTTAAATACCCCGTGCCATCGTTTAGGAGCTAAAAGTATGAAATAAAGCTTTGTCTTCAGGCGTGTTTTGCCCTACAAAATCAACAAAAACATGTCGACATTCAACAATTGATTCAATAACTTTTAAATAAAAGTCATCCAGGAACGGTTTAGCGTAAAATAATTCACCGTTTCATCATGAAAAATCATATTGATTAAGTAGGGAAAAACACGGCTTTTTACGAAAATATAAGTTTCAGTTTATTAATCTTTTTCTAAGTTTCATGACGTGAATTTTAATGAGCTCAATAAAATTATTAATGAGCTCATTATAAATAAATAAAAAAATATTATGGCAACAATATCGTAAGCAATAATGAGCTTCTTTTTTTGTCTTTGCCAAGAATCAAACATAATAAAAAAAAATGTAAACCTATAGTCTATACTTCTGACGTATGAAAAAAAAAGTTATTACTCTAGCCAGAGACAAAAGTACATTCAAAATTACGTCTTTTAATTTTTAAAAAGTAATTCAGCGTCTAAAAATAGTTTAATTTATTTTAAAATTCACAATTTAATATTTTATGTGAAATTATAATTAAAAAATTTCTATGTTCAGCTAAATATTTTTTCTTTTCATAATTAGTCTTCAATCTAACCGGATGTAACAAGTACTTGGACATGTTTCGTGAGACCCCGTTGTTTTGTATCAAGAAAATGCAATGGCCGCCATCTTCGACTCTTGTGAATGTTTTGGTCGTAGTTACGAACTTTGAGGCCTATTTCATTTGTGATATGCAATTATTTGATGGAAATTGTTTCGCTACATTGTAAGTGTTTTCAAGTCTTTTCCGCACAGGTTAGTAATGAATTATTTTAGTATTTTCTAATAAAAGTGTTTACATCTGGATTTCGTAGTCCCTGGCTATTGTGATGCTGTCATATTCCATAAATACTTAATATTTTTAGTGTTCTAATTCATAAAAATGTGTGATATTTCTACTGTAAGTCATTACTATTTAAAAATGTTCAATAAAAATATACAAACCTCATTTTCGTACGTAGGTACTTATATTTCTCATCCCTTTGTTACTAAGGGGGCTTGATCACTTTAGAATCCCATTATGAATATGAAATTTGCATTTCCAACCAGAAATGTTCATGATGAGCTTTATTTTAGGTTAGTGTTTACTTTTTTTGATGTTTATTAACGAGACATTTCAGTTTCCGTGCGACAATAATGGCGGCAGTAGATTAACCTATTCACATATTTAGTGCTTTTATTGCGCTTCTACTACTATTTTGGTGGAATAATTTTATGTATATCGTATTGTTTTACCGTGGGGCACATTTTAAAATTAATTTCGTCATGTTTCTAGAACAATGACCTCGAGGGTCGTATATAACGTTGTACTGAACTAAAAATATTTCACGAAGAGCATTATGATCTGCAGTGCCCGTGTACGTGATGATTTAGAAGACATATGGCTAAAGAGTCAATTTTCAATTGCAGTCACATGAAATAAATTTGGAGGCCGAGGTGCTCTCCAAGGCGTCATCTCGGGCTTGACCCAAGATGATAGTATTTACAGTATGTCAGCTACATCAGAACATGAACCAGTGGCCCGGCAAGTGAGTACAATAAGTATTTTCATCAACTAAACACATTAACTCACTAAATCCTACTACATCACTTTGTTCCACTTGACACAAGCATTATATGGAAATGCGTCTGTAGACCTCCGAATATCGCATTTCCGACTTAATTTCTTCCCATAAAATTGAAGGTAACACTTACATACTTGAGTTTCCTAGGTCTATGAATGAAAATTGTTCCAACGTTTCTCTTATGCTGGTACTTTTTCTGCTTTTTGCTTGCAAATTTATATTTTAGCACAATTTGACTATTGTTATGTGGCTGTGTTGAAGAATTGACAATTGTGTAAAATAAATAATTGAAATCTGAAGTGTATTCATTGATATCCCTTTCAATAATGACTTAGTTATTTCCAGCTTTTTAGTTTATTGTTGGTGAGTAGAGATTACTTTTTCATGTTTGTTTAGCATACTACTATCATCACTAGTTCAGAATGGGGGCATTTGATATGAATGTTACTCCATTATTTAAGTCGGTACTAGCAATGCAATATAAAATATGTTGATTATATGATAATAAATTCATTAGATGAGGGACAAAAACAGCTAGCCATGTTATTGTATTGTTTTAAATGTGTGATTTCTGTGGCTCTTAAATTATGTGTATCTTTGTATGATTTCCAGTAATGGGTACAACAAAACACATTTCTTATTTGATTCCAATTGTAACTAACCCAGATGTTAAGTATGGGAATATTAAAGTAAATATTTTTTGTTACAGGATTACGGGCCGGCCACCTCCAGTGAAAATGTGTATGAACATGTATTGGAACATAAACTAACAGATACTATGAACGTACCAAATGTTAGACCCCCTGTCTTGAGGGCAGTTCCCCTGTCTCCCACCGAGGGCGACCCCGAGCCAGACTCCACTAATCCTGAAAGCATTATTCAATCTGTACACAAAGTAGATAAAGAAGTAGAATATCACATCGCTGAGAAAAGGTGTGATACAGAGATGTCAGTAGACTCCATTTCTGGGATTGTCAGAATAGAGGAGACTATCGATAATGTGAGTCACATTGCCTACCCCATAATACAAGAAGCAGATGACTCAAACGATGGCAACTATGTTGAAAACTCAGCAACACTCATTCAAGCCCCCTTGAATACGGCAATCGTACACAACGTTGCGAAACTGCCCCAGAACTTCACAATAAATGTTGATCCGTCAGTGGCCAACATCACAGCGATACACAATGTCTCTCAAGACGTTTCTGGGGCCCAAACTCTATGGCTGCCCACAATCCTTGCTACCAGTGCTACAACTTCAGACAGTAAGAGCGACGAGGATCGCCCACAGGCCGGCGTTTCTCAAATAATTATAAGCGACAGTTACGTTAATGACGCCAGCCAGGCGGGCCGCAGAGCGAATATCGTTACAGAAACTAGTTATATTAGCAGACCTAAGACTTCGAAAGTTCAAATACTAAGCAATATATCTCTTCCCAAAAGTGCTAACTATTCCCAACAGTATATCACTCAGAGTAAAGAGATCACAACCCCTGTTTACGGAACTCAGAATCATATTTATAAGTTGGGTCCCAACGTAGTGTCCCAGAAGCATTTAGGTAACTCGGTGCTTTGCACAAAACCTCAGAAGAACCAGTCGTTGATCGGGTGTTCGACGTTATCACCCAACGTACTGAACAGCAGTCCAGTGAAAAGCGTTTCCTACAGCCACTCCTTCGCGAAAGGCACAAACTTAAACAAGACATTAAATAAAGTAAACAACGGTGCTAACATAAACGCTATGGTGGCCGCATCGTCCGGGAACACGCAATGCCATATTTTATCGCGCGTCGTGTCCGGGCCCAACAAGATGTCGGTCCACTCGGGAAGAAAGTCCGTCAACACGTTCAAGAGCTCGAAGAGCTCGAGCCAGGTGTCCGCCCAGAAGAATCAGTCGAGGGCGATCAAAATAATACAGCAGACCGGGACCGTCAACAAGTCCGAGACCAAGACCTGGCCCGTCGCCAGCGTGACGTACAAAGCGCAACAGCCGGCGTACGGCGTAGTCGAAGCGAGTCCGTCGAAGATAATACAGAAGGTCGGCAGTCCGACCAATAAGGCTCCGCAGCCGATGTCGTTGCAGAAGTTTCCCGCGAAAGGCGAGCGCCTCGTGCTCCAGTCGCCGTGCGGGCCCGTGCTCATCTCCACCGCGCCCATCAGCACCAGCCTGGGCAAAGCGCCCCACTACGTCCAATCCGGCGCCACCCCCAACCTGCGCTACGTCCAAACTTACGGCACCGCCGACAACCCGCTCACTACGGTGTCCCAGGTGTCGGCTAATCAACAGCTGACCGCGCAAATACTGCAGTCGCTGTCGCAGCCCAAGCTAATGCTCGCACCGGCGCCGCCCGCGATCGTCACCCACTCCCCGCCCGCTCCGACAGTTCTGCCGGCGGAGGAACCGCTGGAAGTCAAACCGAGCGGCAACAACCAGAGGAGGATCGTATTGTGAGTGACCTTCGTTCATACGAAAATTGGCCTGAAATGGCAATGCCAGATTTTGTATGGAAGGTGGCGTCTTTTTTTTTTCGCGCGGCCATCGACCAAACTTTGTTTTTTGATTTCAAAATAGTGTTTTAAACCAAACTTACTATGGCATGTATACCTCTAAACTCAGTCTGAACTGAGTTACGAGCATTAGAAGTTTAATTATTTTCATACTAGATTTGCTTTTNTGCTGTGTTTTTAAATCAAAAACCACGATCAAAATGTGACGTTAATCTTCAAATTTGCCAAATTATTTTTAGATTTTACTCAATAATGGTAATGAAATTCAAGAATCTATTTCATTAATGAACTACAAGAATATATGTCCGATGATTACTATATATTTTTAAGCTTATTATACGAGCATAAATAATAGATACAGGACTTTGAAAATGAGTCTGCGGCAATTTTTCCGTAAAATGGTTGTGGGAGATGGGACACTGTGAATTAAGCAAAAGAGTTTTAGTAAATCCGTTTCATTAATGGTCAACGCCAAGGATTGACCTATCTTTTGCAGTTATTAAATATTCTCTGGGTGTTGCTTAAGATAGTAATTCATGCTTCCAAAATCTTAGAAATTCGCACGAAAATGTAAAATGGCTCTTAAGGAAACATAGATTTTAGTAAAGAAATCATATCAAACATCGTTCGGAACACGGCGAATTTTTTGTTTTATTCCAAGCTGCTGCAAGTTTCCTAACTGCAAAGGAACTTTCGGTAATTCTTATACCTACTTTGACACACCGCTCCGCGCGCTGCCTCGCTCTGCTTCCCGGTTTATACCTATGAATTTTTAAACTAGTTCTCAACTTCCTGTCCACTGAAGACGAACGGAGATTTTATGCAATCAATGCATCACCATCATCATCATTTCAGCCATAGGACGTCCACTGCTGAACCTAGGCCTCCCACAATGATTTCCACAATGGTCGGTTGGTGGCGGCCTGCATCCAGCGCCTTCCTGCTAGTTTTATGAGGTCGTCGGTCCAATCAATGCTATCAGTGGATTTTAATTATGCTGACCTCTCCGCCACCTCGCTCCGTCCCTGAGGACCAGCAGCCTTAGGTGGACCTCAATTATTATGACTTCATCCAAAATAGAACATTTATTTTGGTTTATTGTAAATCTTAACCCTTGCCGACTCTTTTGAGAAAAATAAAAACTACTTACCTATCACCTATCAATATTTTTTCTCTATGTTTTTTGTTGTCATTCTTGTCAAAGCAATAACTTGTTTAAATAATTCGTGTTTTATCTATTCCAATAACTTTTAACCAGCTTTACACCATGGTCGTGGCCCAGAAAAATCCAACTCCCTTTGGGAGCAGCGTGAAGAGGTTCGGCAGGATCACAGTGCACCCTGCGCTGGACCCGAGCGGCCTGTACACCACGAGACCACCAGCGTGTGACCCCTGCCTCTACCATCCGCAGCCTATCCACAAAATCTTCGAAGTTAACAGAAACTCTAAGACCGACAAAGATCCATGGCGGTACAAAAAGGAATTGGAAGACTGGGCAAAAAATTTAGGTTACAGAAATCAATCCATTCTAGACAAACGACGGTGGCAACAATCACTACTAGGTCCAGCGTGGCACGACGTACCTGAAATGCCGAAATACGAAGCCGCATGCAAGAATGTTGGTTTTGGCAGGACACCCCGATACAAACCGTCGAAGAATAGAATACCTGGTCCAGGCACCTATTACAAGGCTGTTCCGTTTAAAGCACCCTACGGTCCCCACTCCACCCGACCATCCTTCGAGCGTGAGGAGCCCTGTCGGTTCAAAGACACTTGCCCCAGATGGTCACTAGCTCCAGACCGTTACAGAATCGTGGACAAAGAAAGCATAGAGCAGAAATCTAATAAAATCGTTTCTCTTAGGGGACCATACGATCTTTTCACAGGCAAACGAGACGGTTCCTCCATAAAGAATCATTTTAATAGGTCCATGAGAGTTTCTGCTGCTACTTGGCCCATAGCATTACGAGGTTCCTTGGAAAAGTATAAGAAAAGTCATTTCGGTACGATGAATAAAACGAATCGAAGCAAGCCCTATCGAGGGCGGAATGCTTTAGTCGATTTGTCTATGTGTTTAAGGAGGCCGGAGGAGCCTGGGCCAGCTCACTTGAACATCGACAAACCGAAGGTATTTAAGCAAAATAAGTGTGGATTTAATAGCTCATATGACAAGCCTCCAGGGTACAAACGGGTGATCGTATGGCCCGGCGTTGGGAGATACAGCGTCAAGGACGTGAGCTGTGGCCTGCCCGGGCAGGGTCACTGCCATGTGTTCCTGAGTAAACAGGGCAGAACCATCGGCTCAATTTTGCCAGAACCCATGAATTCCTTTTGACTGGTTCCTTTTCTTGTGTATTAATTACCTCAACTACATATTTTCCTTCCTTTAATTATGGTCTAATTTATCATTTATGAGCCAACAAGTACTTTCTTATCTACAGTTAGTTCCTTTGAGAAAGGTAAAACAATGCAATTTCCAACGGAGCGAACCAATTTTGCTTATTCTGCGAGTTATCTTTAGACAGCTTTTTCTCTTCAAACAGTCAGCTTGGTTTTCATTTCTTCCAGTTACCTAAAATTCTCAATTTAAACTTTGAATAAGTTAATATACCTATCCGGTAAAAAACTTCTATTCCTTTAAATAGATGGATACTGGGTATCTACTACCTACTCTTACTTTTACCAATCCACCAAGTAGGTATGTAATCTTATCGCTAGCTCTATTTGATTGCTTAGAATACCTTATTAATGCCTACCTACCATAATTATTATTTTCCATCATCACATCACGTCAAAAGACAGAAAATGTTTAAAGCCTCGACATGAGTGTGGCGCGCGTTGAGCTGCCTTTCAGGACATTAAGTAGGTAGGATATGCAGCAAAAAAAGCTTTATTCTTCTCTTCGTTTTTTGATTTAATTACAAGTCAAATTAAAATACTTAAAGTCGTTTTATTTGCATACCTACATAACTTATTAGGTTATAAATTACTCGACTGGGCAATACTGCCTCCTCCCTGACATGACAAACACAGACCTGTAGGTAAGTACCTAACATTCAGATTCTATACAGAGGGTGGCCAAAACAGTGAGATCTAAAAGAAAAATTTAGATTCCTTACATCAAGGTGTATCCAATTTACCCCCATGTTCTAAGATTTTGCTTAGTTTAGGGATAGATTTAATTTTGTGATATTTTTTTGTGTGTTTTGTGAGATCTAGGCTTTAACATTCTTTATCTTTTTTTTTGGGTTGACTTTTCTCAGATTACTTTTTTTTTGACAGATTTGTTATTAATTGCAGATGTTTGAAAAAAATAATCACCTTGGCCTTCCTATCTTTGATGCAAGATACACAATTTTTGCTAGAAACATAAAAAAATATGCTTTTAGCAGAACACTATCAAATTTTCAACTTGGCTGAAATGATGATGATGATGATGATAAAATGTTGCTTTATTTAAATTCCTACGCTAAAAATTATCCATTTGTATTTAATGCCACTATGCAGTCCTAGTTTAACTATTACGAGAAAAACTCATTTTTGCAGTTTTCATATTACCTAGTTGATAATCTAGTAGCCATAAGATAAAAATAATACAGAATAGGTAACTACATTGGCTTGTGATAACTTTTTAGAATCTCAATTTACCGAGGAAGTTTTTAAGGTATTTTAATAGGCACCATGGTCTTCCTACATTTTTTTTACACGAAGGCTGATCAAAAGTGCAAGACTATGAATTAATTTTTTCTTCTTTTCTGCAATTTCTTAAAATTTTCATACTTTTAAACTAGTTTGTTGAACTTTAATCTTTTCTTTTGATAGCCCAACTACTTATCCCTTGTGATAAGGAAAAAAACTAGATTGAAAAGTATCCTCATTTGTAGAAATGGCATGAGAATAAGTAATCGCAAGTGGCAATTTTCTAAAAAATGCACAAAAACTTAAAAATCTTGAAAACGGTGATATTTTTACTAGGGTCAAAATTGGACGTTAGGGAGATCATGGCGAGGCCTATCGATGGTTATAGGGTTATCCATTGTTTTTGGGACATCCTGTAAATTCGACGCGGCGACGTCAACAACACAATATCATGATACAACGCTGAGTCGTGACACGCACGAGGCGATATCGATATTGCATTGTATTTGTGTGTAAGATCGTTATGAAAAAAACCCTTTTTGAACTCTGGATCAGTGTATCACAGAAACGCTGACTCTTATGCCTTTGATCACACGTACCGAGAAAACGGGCGAGACAGTATAAACATTACGCCGAGTGCGCTCGGCCTAAACTATAAATAAAAATAATAATAATAAAAAATAATAGTAATAGTTTAATAGTTTTAAAAAATGTACTAAAAGTTGTCATTGCTAAAAGTCAAGCTAATGATGACTAACGATACTTAACCACGACTTAAGCCTTGATCAGACGTACCGAGTAAACGGACGAGACAGTAAAATGTTTACTCGGTCGAGACAATGATGGATGTAAGCGAGTAGCTATTTACACGTGTTTTGAAATTAGCACAGTCAGTTCAGTTCTATTGAGACTTTTCTTTTTCTCTAATCAGTGAATGTGACGTCAATCATTTGGCCGAGTGGCGAGTGGCGAGACAGTGCGGGGAAGCGCCACCGTCAATACCGGATCGCTGGTTCCGATTTTTGCCATGTTGGAAACCATATAGTTGAACGATGGCAACGCCCCCCTGTCATTGAGTTTAGTGGGACAGTTCAGCGTAGGTCATATTTATGTTACGGTTAATGTGATAAATGTGAAAATTATGAATAATCGCCGGTTATTATTAATAATTACCTCATGATTTGGTAAATGTGATTAATATAAGATCATTTATGTGTGTATAAAACTAAATAGGCGGCTTAGGCCGCACCTTCACCTATTTTTCACTTTAAATCAAAACAATATGTTATGGGCATTATGGCAAAGTAATGTTACGCAAGGAACAGGCCAAACTCATTATTCCAAATTATATTAATATGTATATGATATTTTGATATTAACGTTTTGACGTTCAAAATGTGTGGCTGTACACGAGCGCTGTACGAGTACCTACACGAGCCGATGTTCTCTTTTATGATATTTGTTAGTATTAAGGTTACATTATTAAATAATCACTGATAAATGTAATTCATTTATTTATCATTTCATTTATTACTTTTACCTCGACTGTCGGGAATTATTCATAATAACCGGCGATTAAATAATTTTCAATTTATCACATTTACCGTAACATATAAACTGAACTGTCCCACCAAACTCATTGACAGGGAGGCGCCACCATCGTTTAACTATACAGGTACTCCGATACTAATAAATATGAGTAGGTACTCGATACTTTTGATTCGATACCAAGTATTTATGGTATCGAATCAATTTGCGATACATAATCGGTATCGAAACAAAAATACTTGGTATCGAATCGAATCAGCAAAACAACCGAAAACAATAAAAAAACCGAGAACGCATCATACAGAACTGAGAGAGCAAAAACAGTGAGCTAATCAGCTTTAATCGGTTACCGAGTTACCAGTATTCGTCGCGTGGTAGCGTGAGTGACGCGTTGTCTCGCGCTGGGCCAGCCGAATTCGTCCGACTTCAGCCGAGCCCGAGCCGAAAGCGAGAGAAGGAGACACCCGCACCCGCCCGCAAATCATCTCGCCATTCCGCCAATATTTAATTGTTGTTGCAACATCAGTTCCTAGCGAGTGCCTTTTTTCCAAAACCGGTGCAACAATGACACAAACAAGGAACAGATTGTCTTCAAAATACCTTGAACAGTTACTGTTTTTGGGCAATCTTAATGCTGAAGAGTTTTTAGTTTAAATTAATAATAAGCCTAATAAACATTTATAATAAATAAATAGTTGTTTTCTTCTCAATTTTGTTTAAATTAGTCCTTCAACGTTCATTGATAGCACCCTCAAAATAATAAAACAAAATAAAAGTTCCAAAAAGTATCGATATCAGTAACTATCGATACTTTAGGAGTACTTATTTAAGTAGTATCGAAAAAAGATTTGAGTATTATCGAAATGAGTAGGTATCGATACTTAGGTGGTATCGGAACATCCCTAAGCAAGCATGCAAGCATGCAAGCATGCAAGCATGCAAGCATGCAAGCAAGCATTAGGATTGCCTTATCTCCGGCTTTTAAATTACACTCTAGTATAGGGCAGACTAGTACCACGTGGAAGAGACCACGGCCAGTCGGGATCTACATAATTCTAGACCAGGCAAGCTTAATGTTGTAAAAGAAATGTGGACTGTATAATATGTGCGTTATAAAAGATAAGAGGGATTCGAGATAAAACAGAATGTATTTTCACGAGCTTAAGTTTTCTAAGAGACAGGTCAAAAATTAAGAACAAAAATGACAATGACACAGAGAATTTTGTTTTTACCAATCTATAGGCCGAAAGAGTATAAAGGTAGAAGGAGGATTGATCGCAACATCACAAATACATAATTATTTAATGTTCAATGTTGGTTGCTCTTATAGACAATATTTATGACTTTAAATGTTATAAATAATTACATTATGTTTATCGTATTTTATTAAAAACAAACTTTAGGAATATAAAAATTATGTTTTTTACATTTATGATTATTTAAATTATGGTATTGAAAATTAGAGAAAGTTATTATTATGCCTATGAAACCATTAATATGCATTTAGAAAACTATGCATATCAAAGTTTATTCGAAAAAACTTTATGCAAATACTGTTATACCAAACTAAATTATGATGAAAAATGTTATGCGTCTGAGAGGGCACCCTACTAACTTGCGTGTGTATTGCATTTGCATTTTTTGTAACGTGTCAAACGATTTAAATTTAAAAACATTTGGTGATTTTGGAGATTTTTAAAACAATTAGGTATTTTATCCGACTCGTTATGGCTGGATTTTTAATCGACACACTAAATAACGAAAGGAGCAGGTTGTTTATAAACAAGTTTCTTATCCATTCAGGATACCCAGGACAGCCTTCCGAACTACATCTCCCAGCAGTACCAGGGCCAGGACTCTGGAGCACCCAGTCCCGAGTCTTGCACGTTCCAGCCTGCTGCACAGAGGTTTCGGTTGAACGAGCAAAGTGAGTATTGTCTAAACCTTGCGCTTTTAAGGTCATAGCAGACTTATCAACTCGGAAAGGGATCAACACCGCATCGCCTTTTGCGCGCTGTCAACCATACGAGACGTTTACGTTACGGTGCGGATAAGTTGCGTATAGAGTTTCATAAAAAGAATACTGACCGCCTCGAGTTGATACGGTTACGATCCCTTTCCGGGTTGATTGATACGTGTGCTAATAGTTACGTTCTTTGATCGTATTACCTACTTTTCAAATGCCTCCAATTATGTTCTTCTGATTAATTTCTTTGCGGGTCCAATAACAGTTTTTACCTTTCTCCCGGGAAAAACTTGACCTTCACTGGTTGAGTTTTTATTGGCGGTCAAGCTGTAGATCCTGGCTACACAGGAGTTGCAGCGGTAGGAACGAGAGGTTGTAATACTCCTTTTTAAAAGACACTGCTCAGCATGGTCTAGCAGCCTGTGCCTGGCATGGGAGCGGCATGGGACGGTTATTGCGATATCAAACGTCAGCGAGATCAAATCCAATTTTAATGTGCTTCAGATTTGTACGCTCTGTCACGTCATATGTCAAGATCACACCTCCCATCCGCTCTAATACCTCAGGCATTGAAAAAGCACTAGCCCTAAAGTACTTCTTCTTTTGTCTCTGACAGGAATCAAACTCCTCACCTCCATAAACCAAGTCGTCCAGCAGCGAGCAGAGCTCGAATCCAACCGGATAACTCTCTCCGGGCTCCTGGACGAGTTGAGGAAGAAACTCAAGAGGAGGATAGAGGAGTGCCAGTTTGAGAAGAGGGAGAAGATGAAGGTCAGTGGTTGGCTAAAAGTTTGAGAGAAAATATTATTCTGCTAACTGAATTAAAAGGGAAGATACAGCATTAGCGTCTCGCAAGTGGGTCGCCATAAGGATGAAGCACACTTATCAACTCTGAAAGGGGTCGTAACTGTATCAACTCGAGGCTAGGCGGTCTGTATTCTTTGTATGAAACTCCATACTACAACGCACACTTATCCGCACCGTAATGGTGCGTCCACACTGGGCGAACGGGCTCGCGAGGCAAGCTCGACATCCTGCTCACTCAAGAGCAGGGTAAGCAGGATGACCAGCGTGCTGCGCGAGCCCGTTCGCCCAGTGTGGACAGTGGACGTACCATAACGTAACGCCTTGCAAAAAGGGAAGATACGGCAATAGTCTCATCCGCAAATGGACATCATTGCATTGCTGTGGCATGCAGCATCTGTCATTTTCCGGCTTGCTGACTATTTCACTTGCACTAAACTTGGAGCTCAATGCTCTCTCTCTCTCACCAGATCGGCTTATGTGTGCAGTAATGCCTAATTTTGATTTTTGCAAACAAAAGACGGGTCTTTATGGAAATCCTTGGGTGAGGCCTTTGTCCAGCAGTGGACGTCATTTGGCTGAAACTAGAGAACGAGAACGAAATGCGTACTGTATCTTCCCTTTTTGTTTTAGTTTAATTCAGTAGACACCTTAAACTTACCTTAAACCTTACTCACTTTCCAAAACTTACTAAGGCTCGGTTTCCATCAAGATGGAGTGGAGCGAAGAAGAGAGATAATGTCGGGTGGAATAATTTAACTATTTTGAATTTGACAACGTCGTGGGTGCGGTGCAGGCGCGGTGCTAAAGCCGTGCAGAGCGGAGAGATGTGAAAATAATGAAGTCTGACTGGTTATTCAAAACACTTCTCCGCTCTGCTCCACCTGGGTGAAAACCGGGCCTTACAGTCTGTGCCTTGTAACGAAGTTATAATGCTTGTAGATACATTCTAACGCTACCTTTATAGGTTTACATTTGGTTACAGGCTCTGAAACAAGCCAACGTCCGCCTGGAGAAAGAGAAGTACACCCTGATGTCAGACATCGAGCACATGAAGCGACATCTTCAGAGGGAAGAGGCGCACCATGTCAAACATGTACGGACATGTGTAGCTCAGGTAATGTAGGCTCGTGTGACCAGTCTTTGGAGTCATCATCAGGTCATAGTAGACTCCACTGTAGCAGGAAATTGACCGAATTACCAGAAGTTCTGGTCAAGAGTGAAGTGTAGGCCAAATGGTCCAGAAGAAAAAGGTAGCATTTTGGCCCACACTCTCCACGCGGTCCTATATTTATCCCATAGTCGCCTCTAGACATCCACGGGAAGAGTGTGATCCTATACGACTCTATCAGAACCAAATGTCTATGAATTAATGGCAGTACCTAGTTAATAGTTAGTTTGTATATTCTTGGTTTCGGTGACTGTCACAATGCCACGACGGCATCATGACGCTGGTCTTCTGTGGAATAGAAACCCAGATTCGACTAATGCCCGTTTTCACCATCAATCCCTAATTTAAAATGACCCCTATAGAAATAAAATTCCTGTTATGTGTTACCATAGATAGGGATCACTTAAAAATTGGGGATTGATGGTGAAAACGGTCATAAGCCTTTTAAAGACTGCGTTGAGTGTCACAATAGTTAAAAAAAAAATGGCTACATTACACAATAGGTACATAGTTTAAATCCCTATAGTCATTAATTTAATGACTCACAAAGAAAGGTATTACGGGTCTTAGCATGATCGCATGACATCTTATCTTATCACAATCTCAAAATATGGTCGTCCCTCCATAATTTACCCAGAAAACCCTGATCACCGGTATTAGACCACCCAGTAAGTATCCTATTCTTTCAGGCTATCCAGGGGATAGTGAGAGATATCCCCACTAATCTCCTCTTCACACCGTGTTCAGTGGCAGAACTGCCAAATGCTGTCAGTCGGAGTGTGGCTAGGAATGCGCCTTCCAGAGTTGTGAGTACTCATCAAGGTATAGTTTAGTTGAGTTAATAGTGTCTCTGCCTACTGCCAAATAACTGTGGCACCCGCAACCAGACTTGCAATACTGAGAATATCATCAAGGTAATGATAAAGACTCATAATGGAGTCGCTATGGGCATGGAGATGGACGGAAGTTATGAACAAGTGCAGCGTGAGTATATTGCATGCCCAAGAGATTGATAATAGGTTGTGGAAAACTGGATGATTGGCGATTAACTGGAAATTCTCTGTAAAGAGCAAGCTCATAATTTAGCAGATTTCGACGACGTTTAAAGTGAGACAGTAGGTATATCAAATGCTCAAATTACCTACTATACCTAACTTCCTGCTGCATCAAGAGCTATGTGGTATTTCTGCTGTCTGGTACAGTTCTTGAGTCAAGAATCAAACACTCTAAAGACTGGTTTACCAATGTCTTCGTAATTCATGATCAGAGTTGTCACCTAGCACGAAGTCTGCGGCACTAATAAGGCACGGGACTATTCCCGCCTATGGAACTCCTGTGTAGCCAGGATCTACAGCGTGACCAATAAAAACCTAAACAGTGAAAATTAAGTTTCCCAAAATTAATCAGAAGAACAAGAAGGAGGAGTTCGAAGTAAGGTTCGACCTTGCAGTCGAGTTTGAAGTTTTAAAAAGAGAAGTTTTTGAAAGGTTTTTGTTTTCAGGCGGACAACAAGCTGGCTGCCGCGCGACTGATGCGCGACATCGCCGAGCTGAGGCAACGGGTGGCTCAGGTGGAGGCCCGTCTTGCCAACGAGCTAAAGGTATCATCTCAAAGCAGTTCTGTCTCAAAATGGCCATCATCATCTGAATCAGGTTATAATCCTCCATTTGCCTCTGCTATATTATGAAATGAAATAGTTATTCAGTACAGGCCCTATCCAGGGCACTTGTACACGTTCCAAATATAGCTTGCCCTACATATCTTTATCAAAAAATACTGTGAGGGTCGTTTCTTTAAAATCGTCTTATTTGAAAGAGCCCTTAGGCCTGTAATACGGTCGGCTTGAAGCAGCTAGTGTCGACAGCTTCAAGCTATGATTGCATAGCAAACTATAGATCGTTTCATCCACGAAGACGCGCCCCAACAATTTTTGGTCGAGGGAAGTGCGGGGCGTGGGGAGTTTGATCCGAGCAATCCAAGCGTCATTATTGTAGTGCGCGTGTGCATTCATGGATCATTTAGCGTGTACCGATAACACTCAAACATTAGCGGAAGAATGATGGGGCGCATCTTCGTGGATGAAACGATTTAACGATCTATAATTTTATCACCGACTCGAGCTATCCGCTATGATGGGCCTTAGTAATTTACAAACTCATCTCATTCCTTGCTTAGCACATCTCTGCAGCTTCTTAACTTCTTGTCAATAATCCATCAGTACATTTCCAGCGTAAACGGCAGGCTGAGCTCGACATTGTGCGACTGAGGAAGGAGCTGTCAGCCACGAAGAGCTGCGTGGCCTCGCTGCGGCTGCCTGGGAGGCCGCTGGTCAAACATTGCGCCAAGTTCGCTTAGGATGTGGTCTTCTAAGGCTGGTTTTAGGAGAGGTGTCATGGCGATCAACTTCACTGAGGAATTTTTAATAACATACTCGTATATTGATCTGTTAGCGCCGACTTTCCTGTCTTTTCCGAACACTAAAATCAGGACCTTTTTAAGGCGAGAGTGAATAGGCACATACAGGGCAGACAAGTACCATCCTAGATTGCATCTCACTTGACAAGGTGCGATTGCGGTCAAATACCTGCCTTGTTATCTACACTAATATTATAAAGAGGAAAACTTTGTTTGTTTGTTTGGTTGTAATGAATAGGCTCAAAAACTACTGGACCGTTTTTAAACATTCTTTCACCATTCGAAAGCTACATTATCCACGAGTAACATAGGCTAAATTTTATTTTGGAAAAAAATAGGGTTCCGTAAAATATGTACATAATGTAGTCCACGCGCGCGAAACCGCGGGCGGAAAGCTGGTCCTTTATAAAAATCTATCAGCGTGGTAAAAGTTTTACCGTAAAACCCGTGTAAAAACCATTGTACTTACCACTGTGGCACGTTAAGTATTTGTTAGGTATATCTTTAGCAAAATAAATCTATTTTACTGTACATGTTAGTACAAAAAGTAAGTACCTTTTAGTAACAAAAGTTAGAATTTATTTTAGTAATCGAATAATGCGTAGGTTTTAAGTTGTCTAAAATGTATATTATTTGATTAAGATGTAAATATGAGTATAGTACTGTACTACATAATCAAAGTTTGTTTTAATATTTTACCCGCAAACTCAATTCATTGAATCTTGTTTTTGTTATTCTTTTTTTTTTTAAGTATATCGGCGCGAACTTTGATGTACCTACCTAATGGATAAAAGTAAAAGAAAAATGTTGGACAAAAATTGACTGAATGAAATGCAGAAATACAAAATAAAGTTTTATTCACTTCATAACCTCCAACATACAACTCCCGCCAAAAACAGTCGCCATTTTACACGCTCCTCTATTCACGCGCGTGCATTTTCGAAGCTAGTTGAGCTCTTGAAGCACAACGAGAGTTGATTAAATTTTCGTTATCCAAATGCATTTGAAGATGTTTATCCAGCAATTCTTTCGTTCTATAATGTCTTCCGCAGAGGACACAGTATTTTGCGAACATTGTATTTTTGCGTTCTCCATGAACTAATTTCATATGCTCAACTAAATGTGCGGATGTGGTGTATTTTTTCGGACAAATCGAGCATTTGAACTTGGCGAAGCGACTGCGGAGGGGGTTTTCTTGCCTTTTCGTTTGAGATGGCTTTTTTGATAGGCTGGATAGCCTGCAAAAGACATAGATTACACTGTTTAATAAATGTAAGGTATAAAAAATTACAAAATTCAAAAAGTCAACGCCAACACTGTACCCTAGCGTCAATAACATTTTTTTCTTACCTTAAGTATGCTTAAATAGTAACCCCCTTACTAACAAAAGTTACACACCCGTTGAACAGTAGTTGAAAGACCTTTTAAACGTCGCTTTAAACCAGTGTTCGACCCACGTATAAAGGTTCAGCCAAACCAACGCAATTACACGCGATCAGCTAGCGTGCAGCGATGGCGATAAATGCATTTAAGTCTGATCGCCATCGCTGCACCGGCTGCACGCCAGCTGATCGCGTGTGATCGCGTTGGTTTGGCTGAACCTTAATTTATCAATAAGGGGAATATCCGAAAATTATCAAATAACAAACCTATTCTTCCACTTCAAATCCATTCCTGATTGAAACCTCATGTGTGTAGTCATCCCAGTCGGCATCGCTACGTAACTTTTTCTAAACAAACTCTGTTTGTCATTATTCTTTTTACACCGTGAACACACAAACTCTTTGCACCCATTTGCAGGAACTATCATCGGATACTTCTGCTTACAGACTTTACATTGCACGTTCGTTCTTTTCACGTCTAGAGGCTTCGGATGGCCTCTTTTAGATTTCCTATTTTCCTTAGACATTTTTGTCTTCAGCAACTCTATTATTGATTTGTTGTTGATGATGCCTATGTTTTCATTTTTAAGAATATCATCTGGAACTTTTGTGGAAACTGTTGGCGAGGGAATTGATGAACCTGCGAATGAGTTGTCTGATTGTACCTTTGCAGTAAATATCTCTCAATAAATCAATATCTTCAAAGAAAAAGAATACTAACTTGGTGGTTTATCAAAAGCAGCGTGCACTAGCGCCTTAAACCTTTCAGTGTTTCTTAGCTGCCGGACGCACCACTCGCAGATCATGTTGTCTAGCTGGGTCACCTAAAAAGAGAAACAATTGTGATATAAGAAATCATGAAGCATGTCAGTTAGGTGCCTAAATACGTGACCTACAAACGTGACCACTTTTATGACGGTAGGTCTTGGGTTGGTATAGAAAAGTGATCGTCTAAATAACGAATTAACAAGCTTCGTAAATAATCGCAGTCATGTTCAATGGTGCCAGACTTCGGATAGTTGACAAAAAAGCAAAACATGCCCCTTTTTAGTCATAAAATTATAAATAATAAAGTACCCGGACTCCAAAACAGTCGTACAGCAGCTGGTCGTATCGTTCTTCGACGCCTTCCCACACGTAAGTGTCCCCGAAGGCACGGAGGCTGGTATCACCACCACAAAGGCGGCAACAACGACCTGCTGCTGCCCCATCGCCAGACGCATGCAGGCTTACATTCTCCTTTGAAACAGAACCAAAATTAACCCAGTTTATAGCATACAACGATAAAATCTTATCACAATTTTACTTACAGTGCTAAATATTTTATGGAACTTCCCTTTCGTCCTTAGCACATTCATATTAATCGTAAAATTATAATTTTAAAAATTAAAAACCAAAACTAAAATAGGCCACAAGTTTTGAAATTTTGACAAACTGTCATGAACTTGAGCAAAGCTTGAGGCTTGAAGTAGGTTTAAAGCTAAGCGTCCACATGTCGGTATCGTACGTATCGGACGTATCGCACGCAACGGATCGTAGTATTATTTATATGGAAACTCATAAAATATTATAAGTGCGTCCACCTGTCCGCATCGTACGCATCGCACATCCGATACGATGTGTTTCGTACGATACTAACAAGTGGACGCTTAGCTTTAGTGTCTTTTAAATAAATACCGTTATTTTATCGTTATTCGACTTCTTGTATTGTTAATCGAATACAAGGCACATCACTACTAGAAAAAAAAAACATCTGTCATTGACGACATAGAGAAAAGTAATACANTCGCTCGCGCTCATAATGCTGGACCACACGTACTCGCTGCCCGCGCAGAAGCAGCCCGCGCCCGCTTCGCCCGCCCCCGCGCCCGCGTCCGCGTCCGCGCCCGCGCCCGCCAGCCCGCTCAGGCGCGCCTCGCCCGTCATCGTGCCCGCGCCCGCGCCCGCTTATGACGCGCCCGCGCCCGCGCCGCTCGTCGCCGCACCAGTAATAGCGGCCCAGCCCGCCGCGCCGCTTGCGCCCGAGCCGCCGCCGCAGCCCGCGCCGGACGACGACGCCGCCTCCGTCATCTCGTCGCTCGACGGCGAGCGGCCGGCGCAGGGCGGCAGCGACACGGAGACGGCGCCCGAGGGCGAGGACGAGGGCAGGACGCGCTGCATCTGCGACTTCACGCACGACGACGGCTACATGATCTGCTGCGACCGCTGCGGCGAGTGGCAGCACGTGGACTGCATGGGCGTCGACCGCGCCAACATCCCCGACGCCTACATGTGCGCGCTGTGCCAGCCGCGCGCCGTGGACCGCCGCCACGCGCGCGCCATCCAGCTGCGCAAGCGCGAGGAGCTCAGCGCGCTCGGCGCCTCCGACACCGACTCGTCCGACGGCCGCGCGCCCGGCCCGCGCCGCAAGCGCCTGCTCACCGTCACCACCTACACCGACACCTCCGGCGCCTGCGTCACCACCTACAACTCCAGCCTGCCCGCGCTGCCGCCGCCGCCGCAGCCGGCGCTCGCGCTGCCCAAGCGCGGCCCCAAGCGGCCCAGGAAGGCCGAGGCGGTGCGCAAGGGCGCCAAGCGGAAGCTGGTCGAGAAGCGCGTCAAGCGCAAGAAGGAGATGCTCATGAACCGGAGCAAGTACGCCTCGGGCGTGGCGAGCCAGGCCAGCCACTGGCAGGAGGCCTTCGAGCTCGCCGTCACCAATCACTACAGCCCCGAGCTGCGCGCCAAGATCGTGAAGTACAGCGGCCGGCTCGGCAACACGCCCAACATGGCGTCCGCCGTCACCGCGCACCTGTGCGCCAACGTGCCGCACGCCGGCGGGAAGATACTCATCGCCACCAAGGACCTCAAGGAGAACACTCCGATCATTGAACTCCGCGGCAAGTACATGCTGTCCAACCAGCACCGGCCCCAGCTTCAGAACTCCGCCCGCGCCGGAAGTCAGAAGCCGGGACCGTTCGTGTTCTTCTACAGACTGCCGAAAGACAACACTCAGATATGCATCGACACGAGGACGTACGGCAACGAAGCCCGATTCGTCCGGAGGTCGTGCAAGCCGAACGCGGAACTGCAGCACTGCATCGTCAAGGGCGCCCTGCACGTGTACCTCGTGACCATAGGTATAATCCAGTCCAACACCGAGATAACCATCGGCCACGACACGGACGGCAGCAAGCAGCCGTGCGCGTGCGGCAACCCCAAACATTGCAAGATCAACGGCCTCAGCCCGATGATGACCAGAAAGAGCGTCGATTACCCGCCCCGAGAGAAGAGAAGTAGAAACAGGTGCCTTAGCTCATCCTCTCCGATGTCACCGCCCCTGGAGCCGCCGTCGACGCCCGTCAAGGAGTTTCCCCCGAGCCTTCCGATCAAGACCGAGAAGAAGTCTCCGGTGAAACACGAATACCCGCCGATGTCGCCGGTTAAAGTGCCGCTGCCGGCCGCGCTGGCCTGCGACGAGCCGCTTAAAGCGGAGCCGCCCGTCGTGGAGGACGTGAAGCCGGTGATAGATCTTATCGCCAAAGAGGAGCTGAAGCCTGAGATCGACGAGCCAGACTTTGTCAAATCCGAGCCCATAGTTGAGGAGAAGCCCGAGGAGCCGGTCTTGAAAACTGTCATTGAAAAAGTGGAGGCACCTGCGGAACCGGAGCCGATTATTGAAGAACCGAAACCTCAGAAACCTCAAGTTGAAGAAGTTATAAAAGAGGAGGTGAAACCTGAGCCCGAGCCCGTTTCGTCCGACGACGAGAAGCCCGAACTCCCGGAGTTGAAGGAGAAAGAAAAAGAACGGGAGAGAGAGAGAAAGCCGAAGGACGAACCGAAATCGGAGCCGAAAATCGAGCCGAAGATTGAGGACGAAAGACCGATGACGCGGGAACTTGCCGCCAAATCGGCTTGTCACGATCGCTCATCGCGCTCCAGCCGCACGTGCGTCAATCAGGACAGCTTGGATGACAAGACTGACGACTCTCAGGATAAAATACAAACTATCAGCAAAGATAAAGACAAGAAGAAAATGGTAAGCATTTTCTTACATCTTTTATTGCCAGTATTTTAATAGGTGCGTTTACACTGGGCGCATTGTCAACCTCTTGAGTGAGCAAGAAGAATTCGAGCGTGACTCGCGAGCTCATTCGCTCGGTGTGAACGCACCAAATTTAATCATGCTTCAACACAATTCCAACTTTACTCCCATACCCTAAGGTCTATTTTCCTTCTAGACTCGAGAGGAGCGCAAAATGGAGGCGATAATGAAAGCGTTTGAGCGGATGGAGAAGGCACAACAACGCAAACAGGAGGTTAAGGAGCGGCAGCGGCGCCGCGAGTCCGACCCGCCGCCTGGCGCCGATCGAGACGACGACGACGACCATGCCGCCACCAAGAGGCGCCGCAAGTGAGTGTTGTTTTATTTTAGACCTTATTACATATCAAATAGAGTCCATGATTATGTGAAGGAGCGGCAGCGGCGCCGCGAGTCCGGCCCGGCGCCGATCGCGACGACGACCATGCCGCCACCAAGAGGCGCCGCAAGTGAGTGTTGTGTTATTTTCGACCTTATTGCTTATCAAACAGGGTCCATGATTAGGTTAAGGAGCGGCAGCGGCGCCGCGAGTCCGACCGCGACGTCGACGACGACCATGCCGCCACCAAGAGGCGCCGCAAGTGAGTGTTGTTTTATTTTAGATCTTATTACTTATCAAACAGGGTCCATGATTATGTGAAGGAGCGGCAGCGGCGCCGCGAGTCCGACCCGCCGATCGCGATGACGACGACGACCATGCCGCCACCAAGAGGCGCCGCAAGTGAGTGTTGTGTTATTTTCAGCCTTATTACATATCAAACAGGGTCCATGATTAGGTTAAGGAGCGGCAGCGGCGCCGCGAGTCCGGCCCGCCGCCCGACGACGACGACCATGCCGCCACCAAGAGGCGCCGCAAGTGAGTGTTGTGTTATTTTAGACCTTATTGCTTATCAAACAGAGTCCATAATTATTTGTCCCTACTGTAATATTTACTTGAAGGGCTTACTATTTTAAGAAGCGTTGCAAGTTTGTACAATGTGTAAATAACTTAAACATGTTTGAATACATGTTAAAAAAAACCAACATAATGTAGTATTTGAATTTATCAGTACAAAAATAATTTCATATTCAAAATATAGTAAGTAAATTATGGAAATACCGTTAGGTTGTTATTCGAAATTTAAGACTCATTGTTATTTTACCTCCCATTTCCAGATCTTTTTTTTTGTTTATGTCTTTAGGAAAACATGTCAATTTCGCGACTTCTTCTGAATAATACACGGCTGGGCAACACCTTGTGTATCATACAAATACCGTATACGTTTAGAGGGCTTCAGTTCCAACTACCTATTTGTTTTTTCTCTCGCTTTCATCAAATGGTAATTTTTGCGATAAAACGAGACATGACCAGAAATGGGTAACTGGAACTGTGTCCCACTGTGCCAAAGTATAGAGATCATAAATATTCGAGTGTAATCTAAAGCCCGGTCCGTGAGCACGTAGAATTTTGTCCAATGACCCCAAGCTACCCATCCTTATCGCTTGCGCGTAATTATATTGCTGTCGCGACTGTGCGACTGGCACCCGCAATGAGTGTGCGAGCGCGATAGCAAGATAATTAACTACTACGGCGTTTCTTCTCAGCACTTGCCATTATGTTTGTCTCGAAGCGCTGGTAGGGCCCAAGAGATAAGGATACATGTAAAGTGCCCCATAAGGGCTACCTTTTCTCTTTATTGTTTGGTATATAGTATATTTGACGTTCATAAGTACCACTTGTGGTCTAAACTGAATAAATATTTTTGATTTTGATTACGCGCCAGCAATAAGGATGGGTAGCTTGGGGTCATTGGACAAAATCCTACGTGCTCACAGAGGCTTTACAAGGATTACAAGTTACTTCTTCAACAGACGCAAAGGCCGCGCGCGCACTACGTCACAGTCCAACCGACGGCGACTAAACTCGGCCGACAGCGACATGGTGACGTCAGGCGACGAGGGCCCGCCGCTGTCGCCGCCGCGCGCGCTGCACCCGCTCCCGCACCCCCTCTCACACCCCGAACCGCATCCAGCGGTCACCGACACGGCGCATGAGGTCAGTTGTAGATAGAGATGGGTTATACTAGGTAAATTTGATACTAGGTGCACCTATTCCAAGTATTTATTAATACTCGATCCAAATACCTGTTCCACCTAGTACGTAGTAATTTAGCAAACTTGACGCGACTAGTGCGGACTAATCCAAGTAATATGACTTTAAAATACAATTTTCTTTCAAAAGATACAACCGTAGTATGAATAATGCAATTTGAAATTGAATAATAATTCCTCCCTTCATACTTCAACAGGCTTTGGACTGTCAACTTAAAAGTTGGCGTATTTAAAAGATATCAATTTCATAAAAATATTTACATACTTTTTTCTTATTTACATGAATATGGTTTGACTACGTTTGTGTGCGTTTTGCTTCGTCGCGCTCAAATTTGTTTGGTCAGACAGAGACGGAGTGAATCTCTACGTTCGCACATAAGCTTAGCGAGAAATATTAGGTGCGCGTAATACACGACTACGGATTACGCAATAATAACCTCTATTACTTTCAGGTTAGGGTCGAAAATCGTGTAATTTATAAAATACTAGGTGGATCAAGTATTTTAAAAAATGGAATAGGTGCCGCCTAGTACTGTAAAATACCTAGTGTGTGGATCTGTTCTAGTAAATACGTCTCATCTCTAGTTGTAGACTAATGACACGTTTCAGGTCAGGACTAAGGCTAAATTGCACCACCTAACTTTGATCGTAACTCGACGCACACTCGACATCCTGCTCGTCTCAAGAGCAGGATGACCAGCGTGCCACGTGAGCGCGTGCACCCAGTGTGGACGCACCATAACGATAACCAGTGTTTTTGTATGGAGTTTGACAGATTTTTGACGTTTTTCAAGATGTCAATAAATGGTGCAACCCAGCCTAACATTGTATAGATGACCCACGCTGAACTGTCCCACCAAACTCAATGACAGTGGAGTGCTACCATCGTTCAACTATTTGGTTTCCAACATGGCAAAAATCGGAACCAGCGATCCGGTATTGACGGTGGCGCCCCACTGTCAATGTCATGGATAGGACAGTTCAGTATTTTGGAACTACATACCTATATCAAGTTTCATTTTGACACAACTTAAAAAATATAGCCATTGCGCAAATCTAGGAGGCCTCTGTTCAGCAGTGGACGTCCTATGGCTGAAATGATGATGATAAAATTTACATATTCTGAGTCAAAGGGCATGGAAATGTTACAAAATAGGCATTTACTCTTTAGTAAAAACATTTAAAAAAATTGAGTTGTGCCTTGAGTATTTTAATTATTGTTGATACAAAAAACGATGTTCTCCATAATCATTAACATTACATTAGTCTCCATAGCAGAAGCATGACCCTCTTGAATTTACCAGAGGTAAAGAAAAATTAGTTTTTTTACAACCGTAAACTTCTTTCTATTATACGATCTATAAAAAATACCCTTATGTCCAAAGGGTACTACAAGGTTCGAGACTATATTGATGACAAGGATGCCTGGTCAGTTCAGTCTGCACATATTTGATGTACTTAAATTTGACTATTCTTACCGTTAGATAATTCCTGGCAATAAGTGGTGACTGAGTTTGTTCCGGCGTTCTTCTCAGCACTTGCCATATGTTTGTCTCGAAGCGCTGGTAGGGCCCAAAAGATAAGGAGACATGTAAAGTGCCCCATAAGGGCTACCTTTTCTTTTTTTATTATTTTCTATTAACGTTCATAAGTGCCACTTGTGGTCTAAACTGAATAAATATTTTTGATTTTGATTTTTGATTTTGATCATCTTTTCGTGTCGACAACAAACCTACACTCAAAGAGTATCAGCTCAAAAGTCCGCTACAAGAGTGGCGTTGCACGATAAACGTGCTAGCACCGTAAGAAGCTCCCTTACATTTGATCTTCAACCACAGGACCTCGGCCTAAGCTCGGCGTGCCTGCTAGTCGAGGCGGCCGTGGGCTCCGTGGAGTCCGCCTTCAAGCTGCCCAAGACCAAGAAGACGATGGCCACCGAGTGGGTCGGGCGCTCGCCCGAGCGGACGCCTTCGCCCTACCGCTCGNCATCGTCACATGCCGAATAATAGACGTTTATGTGGTCGGCGCGTGATTTCGATCCCTTTTTGAAATAAGTGTGCTGTTCCTTTACTGTGTTGCTTCGTTCATGGTACTGTGAACTACTACTACTAATTATATACTCTTTGGATTTTGACACATACTTGACGTTTCGTTGCTGCAAGGCTTGCTGGCTGTCAGTCATGTAAAATTATTTATTGTAAAAACGGAAGAAACGGGATCGAAACGAATGGAAAATAAATTACGAGTGTCACCCAATTAGCAAGTTAATACCGTAATAGTTTTTATTTTCCCTTTTCCTCTAGTTCAGGTTCGATTCAGGATTCTTGAAGGTTCTAGGGCTCTCTTTCTAAAACGATTGAAGTGAAGGAAGGATTGTGGGAAACTAATGGATCTATTCAAACAAGGTATTGTGTGCTATGCTGTGTCATTTATTTTATGTATTCAAAACATTATTCTTTGCGAACTTTTAATCACTATTATGTATCTCTAAAATATGGTAGCAACGTGTTGATTCGTCGTAAAGAAATGTTTCTTTACCATCTCCGTTTATTGTTACGACGAACGAACCCATTCAAGGCCGTGCATCGTTGTGCCAGGCACTTGCTGATACTGCGAGAGGCGCGGTGTTTAGCGCACGCTTGTTGTTGGTGGGTGGATATCGATATCAAAATAACACTATCGATACCGCATCGAGTTCCAGGCAGGCCCCAGTCACGACGCGGACGAGTTACGCAGCGCGCTAGTTTATTGCGTTAAATTGCGAAGTTTGTTATGCAGACACGACGTTGCTGCTGCCCACAGTGAAGTGATTTTTTGATATCAAGAACCATCTATAAGCAGATAGTTGGCTTATTTTCATGCAGTTACATTAAATTTCAGAAAAAAGTGAGTCATTCTAATTAGAATGAGCCTTTGACTACAATGACTGAAAATATTTTCACTGATAACACTTGTGTACACTTAAATTCAGTGCCAATGTATGTGCCACAACAGATTTTTTAATTTCATGCTATTGTCCACAGGAATGAAAGGTCCTACTAGACCAGCACCAGGTGTACCTAAGCCAGCAGTCAATAGATATTCTCCAGTGACCAATTGGAATGATGACCCTTTTGGTGCAGATTTGTTTGAACCAGCCCCATATGTGCAGAAGAAAATGCCTCCCCCACGTCCTCCCCCTCCGAAAGTAGGCAACAAGCAACCTGATGTTCCTGTTAAGCCTTCTCACTTTGTTAGAAGACCAACAGTATTGTCTTCTCTATTATCCCGTAAGAAGAATAGTAGTAACAATCATGCCAATCAACACAATGTTACTGATCTAACTAATGAGGTGGATACAAGTAAAGTGTTCCCAAAATGTGAGCCAAAGAATATTCAAACGGGCACTCTCATAGACTTTTCCTCGCCACCGAGCTCCCCAACATTTACCACAAGGTCCAGCAGTGATGGTCTCAGTGTGGACAGTTTTGGATCAGATGCTACAACTTCTACGAACCACCATAATGCAAATAATGGTGGAAATGCATCCCAGGCTGAAAGTGGATTTGAAGATGACTTTGATTTATTCTTGAATTCTAGGAAAAAGGTTACAAAAGATGACACATTTGATGATTTGGCTACAATTGATCCTTTTTCACCTCAGCCTGTTGTGAATAAACCTCCTATCATGAAGAAACCTATAATAAATAAGGATTTGTTTGAGATGCAAACGAGTAACCAGCCAATAACAATAATAAAAGGCCCTACAATAATCAGAGCCAAGCCAGCCAGGCCTAAGCCTCCAGACAACTCTGCATTGTTGAAGACAACGTTTGGAAGCACCTTCCCAGTCACTCCCATGACTATAAACACTAAGACTCCTATTCAAAAAATTAGTAATGGCTTTGGAGATACTTTTGTAAGTATTTTTATTCTATTCTGCTCTATTAATTTATACTAAAAATATCAATTTAGCAATTAGAATATTCTTAATTGGTCAATATTTTCTTTATTTGCATTTGGATCTGAACAGCATATTTTTTCCTCCATTTTACTTTACAAGCATAGTATCAAAGATCTTTTCTTGTTGCGTTTGTTTACAACATTACAAGGTTTTGATGTAAACCAACTGTAGAGACTGTGCGAGAAAATATAACTTTTCATTTGTAATATAATAATATTTATTTAATAATAGTTGAGTGCATACCTATTTTGATAATTCCAACAGGGTTTGTCTAATATAAATAACATACTGTATTATGTACCATGTATCTTGAGGAAAAGTCAGTCAAGCTGCATAGTGGCCAGTAATCATATTAACACTAATAGTCATGGCCATGCCCTCTACTTTGGTTAGCAATTGTATGAATCTAATTAGGTGTTTATCATGCACATCTTTGAGTCCATGTTTTGGCTGAAGCAGTTTTTTATAGTAATAATTCAATTAGTTATGGTTTGTGATTGCAAGAAAAAGTTTTAAGATTAAAATACCTGGTTGATGAATAGATAATGTTTCTAGAATACATCTAGTTTAGAATTTGGTGATGAGTTTTTTTTCATCTAAATTCGTCGAGTGCAGCAGTATTATGCCAAGGGGTAATAATAATAACCTCCATACCAACCATATCTATTAGGGTGGTCCTTATTTTTCGACTTTTGAATTATCCCCGGGGCACTTTCTCATTCGATTATATACCTCTAAATATGAAATTAGTTTTTTTTGTTTTATTTTTGGTTAAGATTTAGAGGTCGCTACCAGCTGTCAAAATATTTACTAAAAGCTTTGAAGATCTTAAATCATGGTTTCATAAATGTTTTATTTAAGTGTTTATATCACATTTTACGTGCAAATGGACATCGCATAGATAGAATAGACAATCACTTCTTGTCCCCTTCTCCCCTCAACCCCTCTTCTGTACCGACCATGGTACCGACGCGTCGAGATACTAACAAGTCAACTCTTATATCTTAAAAATAATTGATTCAAATATGTACATTGTACATGATATCTTAGTTCATAGCAACAACAATAATTTTGTAATATTTTTATTTGGCTTTGGCTAAAAATAAATGAATCTAACAAATACAGATTTTGTGTTTTTACTTAAAATTCAAACCTTGGTAGCGACCCCTAAATGTCTTTTAAAAATTAAAAAAAACATAATGAAAGACTTTCATATGGTATATATTCAAATTACGTGGTGCCCCGCAAAATATAAGAAAAAAATTTTTTTTCGTAGGAATAAGGACCACCCTAATATCTATCCTCACAAACTTTTGCGTTTATGCAGAAAGCAGAAAATATGGCTTGGAGTTGGACAGTATTTAAGTAAATTCCCAATAATTCCTAAAATATTACTTTGTGTATTTAAAATAAGTTATTTTGCAGGAATCTAGGCTCGCCTGGGACAGTTCTCCCGAGCCGTCGTCGCCGCCGATGCCGTCCGTCCCGCCCCCGCCACCGCCTCCGGAGGCAGACGAGGATCTACCAGTGGAGTGGCCCGAAGAAGTTGACTTCAACTCGGAGCCAAACTTCGACTGCGCTGAAACGGAGAAGCCATACGCCATTGCTCTGTTCGATTACTTTACGGATCACCCAGATGACCTCTGTTTTTCGGTATGTTTTTATTTAATAACACTTTTGTTATCATCAATTACGTATGTTTACTCTTATAATACTCATAGACTAGACTTATTCATGTGTACATTATGATGCTGAACTGACTCAAAAACTGACCTAAGCAATATCTTGGTTGGTGTATCAATTATATCCCTATTATTGAAATTAAATTTTGCTTAGATGACTAATGATATAAAAGTCCATCATTAATTTTTCGCACTGTATCTCTCTTGTCAATGATAGTAATAACGTTCGATATCGTTATCAACTGTTATCAATACATTGTCTCTAAAGGCACTGGTAGTTAATATCCAAAAACACTTTCTACAAATAGGATAGTTTAATCCTTGGTCCCGAGGCTTTTGTCCAGCAGTGGACGTCATTCGGCTGAAACTTACGAACGAACGAACGAATCTTTTATGATTTTAGTGAGAGTATCTTTAAAACTATTTTTTTCGTGTTCATGACTTTACAAAAATTGTTAACAGTTTCCAAATACTGTTTCCCTAGATCAGTTAAAGTTTTCAAATAATAAGTATTTTTGTATACGAATGTTATGATACTGTGAAAACAACTACACAATTATTTTATTTTAATGTGTTTCGTATTTTGTATGTTTAATTCATAATAATCAATTTGGATTTTTATTTGCGACGAAAGGATGTCGCGCTGTATGCGTGACTCTGTTTATTTTTGCAAACAAAAACAGACATATCTAATCTGTCTATATTACACACTACACACCAAAACATAAAAACTGGCAATTAAAAAATATATGATAAATGGAACGACACAATTTAGGCGATCTTATTATCGCTAGGAACGTAATAATATTATTGCGTTTTATCTCCAAAATAGTTTGACGAATTTAGATAAAGATGTCTGTAACTGTAACTGTAAGTAATAATTTCCGTTGACGAAGAAGCGTGAAAAAAATGCGTAAGGTTTTCACTTTTCTTTTAGTCCAATCAACGAGTATAATAATTCCTATCCTTAGTTCCGTGATTTTTTTTCGCCAACTTTGTAATTTGTATTCCATTTTATGTGTGCGTTATTTAATTTATATGTTTTTTTTTATTTGTAAAGACAGACTGAATTCCTCAAAAATATTAGAATTATTACTGTAGCTACACTATGGATTGTTTTGTTTATTAGACCTCGCAATGGCTTGAAGCCAAGTAGCTGCTATTAATAGAAGGCATTATGTAGGTGTAAGTTTTCTCGGTCGTCATATCGAATTAAGGCTTTTATCGCTAATACGCAGAAAAGTAATGAGACTTTTAAAAATAAATAGATATAATTATTAGGTATGTTGTTAGATAAAGTCATTGTTATTCGCATTTTTATAATGTGCTAGGATTCTCATTATTATCCGCCGATCGCAAAAACCAGTTTTCAGTATTACAAGTCGGTAGTAGGTATTCCATTGTGTTCCTTTGTCTGATGTGTTGTCTTATTTCAGTGTAATCAAATTACCAAGAATCCCCATTGTTATTAATTTCTTCGTCGATACCACTTCGATGACTTCTTAGTTTCAAATACGCCGTAATTTGGCAAGGAATTTGTGGAAGGTATTTTGGTAGTTCACCTGTATGTATTCTCATGTCTTTACGTTCTAAATTTGCTTCGCCATCCATTAGCGCCAATAAATAGGCGAGGCAGTTCAGCTGTTCACGTCATAACAAGATAATCTATTCTAAACATATTAAGGAAGCTTCTGTTTGCATACTTTAAACGTTCCGTTTATTGTGTAGTAGACCATCGTTAGCCATTTTTCTGGAAAATACGTTGTATCAGCAAAGATAACGACCATGAAGCGCCGTGGTGTAGTAGATGGCTTTGCATCGGTCCCGGCTTAGATTACCAGCTCTAGCTATAGGAGAATATTAATATTTTATTTCAATGTAATATTTCATTAGGTGCTTATATTGACTTAAGTATGATTGTTCTCTTTTGAATACACTATTCTTGAATTTGGTAACCACTTATGTAGGTAATGTGTTCGGCAATTGCTATAATTGCATGTTGAAGCCATTTGTTCAAACCTACCTAGACAATGGTCGCTCGCCGCATGCGTGGACAGATCTGTACCCCCAGTGAAAAGGGATCTAACTCGACTTAGATCAAAATTGACTTTATAACATAATGTGAATCTCTGAAAAATTAGCTATTTTTGTATCTAATCGGTATGTTTCTACGACGTATAGAAAAGAAAATAATTTTGTGCCAAATGATACAAGTAAGGCTTTGTGAACCAATTTTGAGTTTTCTTTCGTGTATATTGATACATGTCTACTTTTAACAAANCGCCTTCGCCCTACTGCTCGCCCTACCGGCTTGCCCTCGTCGCCGCGCCCTCGCTCGAGAGCCTTGTCCAGGTATGTTGCAGGGTATTGAGATGGGAGTCATCTTTATAGAGCATTGGTTCTCATACTTATTTAAGACGCGCCCCCTTTCAACCATACAAAAAATTCCGCGCCCCCCTCCTCCATTCAAGATTTATTGGTCGTATCGAGCAGTCTGGAATGCATTCTCTCAGCAATCGCAGGTTTTTTTTCATACTTAGTATACGCGCCCCCTTTAAAGGTCTGCGCCTCCCCTTTATAGAGAAACTAGCTGGCCCAGTGAACTTCGTAGCGCCTATGTTAGAAGTAATGTAGGATTCTAATGGTAAAATAATTTTGCAAAGTTTCGGAGGCCTATTCATACAAACCAATCTTTCCTGAATTTCCTGATACGTTAGTGTAAATAGTTTAATTTTGTTAGAAAAGAGAATTAATTCACTTGGTATGAGCCCCAGAGTTATTGTTACAACTGAAGACTGTTTGTGAAGGAAAAAATACATAATCATAATAATCACTTATTTATAAATAACAATTTTATGATAGCAGTTCCCAAACTAGGTACTTCTGCCTCTTGGGAACTGGATTTGAAGATTCACATCATGTATTTTATGGAGTTGAATAATGATTATGCAGTTACGATGTTAAATAGGTACTGTTTAGCTGTCGAAAGTTGGTGAAGAGTGTTTTCAGTAGGATTTTAGTAACATTCTTCTGTCCACAGGTCGCATCGACCATGATAGGGGACCTGAGCGCGGGGCACGATCTCGAGGACGATCCGAGCGCGTCGCCGCCTCGAACGCCGGCGCGCGACCGCTCCAAGCCGCCCAAGAAGGCCAGGCGGGTCACCCGCAGCACGCCAGAAGCCGCGCCCACCGTGCAGCCGCAACACAGCGCCAAGAAGCGCTGGCTCCGGCAGGCCATCAGCGAGGAGAGCGACTCGCCTTCCGCAGGTGCGTGTGGGATCGAGCGAGGCCAGGCTGGAAGCGCGCGTACCGTATACAGGGTGTTTTTGAAAAAAAGTATTATTTATTTATACTTTTGCACATAAAACTGTACAGTGGCATTCTCTGCCAGTCAACCACAGGTCTAGTAGAGACTAAGGTCGTAAAAGTAGTGTCAAGCCAAAGCCCACAGATAGATCCATTCATCATTTTAGTCTCAGGACATCCACTGCTGAACATAGGCCTCCCCCAATGACTTCCACATCTCACGGTTGGTAGCGGCCTGCATCCAGCGCCTTTCTGCTACTTCAGGGCTTCAGCATCATTAGGGCTATGCAAATCACCCCCATGTATGTTCCGCAATTTTTTAGTTTTCCAGTTATGATTGTTCTAAATTTCTGTGCTTAGGCACTTTTTTGGTCACTGGCGCGAATAGTCAAGTTACATTCCGATTTTTTATTATTTTTACATGAATACTAGGCCTAGCTGATTCAGAAGTATTTACATTCATGATCCATAACACGAATGTAAACTAAAATCCTGTACGTTGTAAAAAAAAATCATTACTCGAAATCACGGTGATTTGGGTAGCCCTAGTGATACTCTATCTCTGGGCATCGACTTGACACTACTTTTTAGGACACCCTGTATATGACACGCGAGCGGGTGCTACTCGCGTTTCATATGTTTCGTACGACACGCTGCGCCCGTACCCGCGCTTTTAGCCTGGCCAAAGCTTACAGTCGATCAGAGCTCGGGCGTACTATGTTAAATTCAGATGTATTTGTTTCAGAATCTCCCCCCAACGAAATGGTGACACCGTTAAAGAAGAGAAGATTAGCGAGGGAATCGTTGTCTTGCGAACAGAACATCATTGTGCCTGTGAGTCTTTATTTTGGAGCTTTTCGTAAACATTTTGTGTAAAGGAACTTTTTACTGATGGTAAATTTTTTGCAGTGCCACGAGGAAGCTTCGCCCGTGTTAACGTCCGAGGATTCGCCCGTCAAAGACGATCCTCAAGCGTACAGCAGACAGTACAAAATGAGGAACATAATGGAGGGCATCTACGGCAGAGACCGCACGCGCTCCGACAGCGGCCAGGGCTCCGACGAGCACGGCGCCGACCACGACGCGCTCGCCGTCAGCCTCGGCGCCGCCGACAGCGACCACATCCGCAGGATCATCGGCGTGCCCACGCCCGAGGACGAGCTGCCTCCCGACCTCAAGCCCGACGACTTCAACACCAACAACAACAACGTCGAGACCGACGACACCAACTACACCAAAGTGGTGCCCATGGACATCGACACCACGATACCTACGCAGCTCAAGATACAGGAAAACGACAGCCTCGAGGTGAAAGGCATCGACAGCCCGACCGACAAACCCAACAGCTGCCAGTCCGCCGACACCAGCGGCAACTCGTCGCCGCAACGAGACGAGATGGACGACATCCAGAAGAAGATCCACTCGTTTCACACGGAAAACATACTCATACTCAAGAGCAGAAACAAAAAACCGCCGAAGGAGAAACGGAAGAAGGTGAACTTGAACTTCGATCTCAACATGGTCGACGACCAGATCAGTATTCAGCTGCGCACCGAGAACGACTCCAACTCGAAGTCGCCGGAGATCAACGGAGACGCGCAGGACGAGATGGGCAACTCGATACACGACGACAAGCTGCACGTCTCGCCCGAGAACATCCCGCTGCCTCCGGTCGAGTCGATACCGCTGCCGGCGCCCGAGAACATACCCCTTCCCGAGGAGCCGAGCCCGCCGCCTGTGGCTTTGATCCCGCCGCCCGAGACGATACCTTTACCGGAGGAGCCGATGAAACCGATGACAAAAGTCATCCAAGCCATCCGGCCTGCCTCGCCCGTCGTCGAGAAAGTGGAGGAGCCGAAACCGATCGGCGGCCTCGAGCGGCCGTCGGTTCTCGACAACTCCACGCTGCCGTTCTCCTCCCGTTTCAGCTCGACGGGGCTATTCTCGGGCATCTTCAGCAACATCACGCAGTCCTTCAACGTGGACCCCGGCCCGATCAACGAAAACGTGCCCAGCATGTCGATAATAAAGAGTGCGATAGACAGGACTACAAGTTTAGACAGTAGCTTATTCGACAAGGACAGTGTTACGCCAGTGGACGAGTTGAAAAGCGTCCAGGAGATATTGACGCGAGTGAACAATATGGACTCTAATAATAGTGTGATTCTGTCGGGAGTGCTGAAGAGTTCGAACAAGGCGAGCCTTCTGGCGCCGCCCAAGCCGGCCGGGGCCAAGCCCTACTGCCCGCGCAATAACGACCCCCGCCTAAACCCTCCGCCTGTTGAGAAACCCAAGCCCGTCAGAAGAAAGGTAAGACTACTTGTTTCTAGTAAGATTGTTTGATTATCACCAATGAAAGAGGTTTCAAAAAACTTGATGCACCTAGATTTAATATTTACTCCTGTCCTGAGTAGCCCCTATTCTACACGTGTATCTGTCCGTAGCATCGACCTCCTTTGTTTTAATGTGTAATACATTATTCATTGTTTGAGAAAGCATCTATTATAAGAAAAAATCTATTTATGCGATACAAATGTATTCAAAATTCAACAAACCGACTTGTTGTGTTTTATTGGGATCAAGGTTCCAGATAAGATGGACGTTATCAATGCGTTGAGGTTGTGTCATTAAGAAATACTTTTCATTGATAATGAATTCAGCTGTTTCTTACGTAATCAGTTGTTAAGTTAGTAGGTATATGACTTGTTGTTTGGTGCTAAAGGCTAAAGCGAATGTGTTTATTATTATTATAAGACAGATAAAGCAGACACATGAGGTTAGGTTTAAACCTGTTCCTAATGTATATGTATTGCTTTCACAGGTACTACATGAAAAAACACCATTGAACTTTGTGTTTGATGCATTATTGTAGAAGGCCCTTTAAACATTGTGCCGTGCAGTTAGCCATTTAGTCTACAGTCCGGTCACCGAGCACGTAGAATTGCAAAATTCAACAGTTGATGGTTTCAATCCCAATAAATAATTATTATGATGTTGGCAAAAGTAGATAATTTAAGTTATCTTGTGTATCTTCGATGTCTAATAGCCTGCACATGTTTACATTGAATCTGCTCAGTTGCCATGTATGATATAATTTTATTATGTGTGTTTATTTACAACCACTTATCTAAAACATGTGAGTGAACTTAACTGTTGTAAAAATATAAAGCATGAAATTTTATTGAATTTGCTGTACTTTTTTATGGTTTTATTGTTTAATAAGAATTTAATCACTCAAAAACCATACCATTTTATATAAATGATGTGCATGTATTCATGTCTGTGTTTATGATGTCATTGTTTATGGTTTTGCCAATTAATTATGAATGAATAATAATTAGTACATTAAAATGAATGACTACATAATTAATCGCAATTCAAAACGTGAGAAGTGGCACAAATTGAGTAATGACAAGTCTTTCCTCAATTAGAAATAGAAATCAATTGATCTTCAATTAAGAAATATCGAAGAGAATTGAGGAAAACAGCACTGGCAATATGTATTACAAGGACCAAATGTAACGAATTTCGTCCATTTCTTACATTGAATGTTGATTTTCGTTCGTCGTTCGTTCGTTTCAGCCGAAAGACGTCCACTGCTGGACAAAGGATTCCCCCAAGGATTTCCACAAAGACCGGTTCTGCGCCGCTCGCATCCAGGCACCTCCCGCGACCTTCACCAGATCGTCGGTCCACCTAGTGGGAGGCCTGCCCACGCTTCGTTCCAGCTCGTGGTCGCCACTCAAGAGCTTTCCTGCCCCAGCGGCCATCAGCTCCACGAGCTGTGTGCCCCGCCCACTGCCACTTGAATTTAGCGATTCTGGTGAATGTTGTTTGTACATAGCATTAAATAGGATGCGTGGTCAGTTCAGTCTGCACATATTTGATGTACTTAAATTTGACTATTCTTACCGTTAGATAATTCCTGGCAATAAGTGGTGACTGAGTTTGTTCCGGCGTTTCTTCTCAGCACTTGCCATATGTTTGTCTCGAAGCGCTGGTAGGGCCCAAAAGATAAGGAGACATGTAAAGTGCCCCATAAGGGCTACCTTTTTCTTTTTTTATTATTTTCTATTGACGTTCATAAGTGCCACTTGTGGTCTAAACTGAATAAATATTTTTGATTTTGATATTCAAATGTCTTCCCAACCCTACAGCTCTCTATAACCGAGTACCGCAAGCGGCAGTGCGGCACGGCCGGCGGCGACGACAGCGGCAGCGGCGGCGCCGGCGCCGCGGAATCGGCGCCCGACTGGTCCTCGGGCTCCTCCGCCGGCGCCGAGCTGTCGCCGCAGCGGTTAGACGCCGCCGCCGCCGCAGCTGTGGATGACCTTGAGCAGCGCCTGCATCGGGAGCTCGCCTGCATGCCCAAGGGTGAGTCAATAACTGTCTATCCACTGCGGTATCAGTACTCAACGTTCGCATAATCTTTAATACTAGCAATGTATAGATGACCCACGCTGAACTGTCCCACCAAACTCAATGACAGGGGGGCGCTACCATCGTTCAACTACAGGGTGAAGATAAGATACAATGGTATGGTGAAGTCAGAAATTTGATATCATCATTTTAATTTTTTAAATTGTCATACAAAATTAATTTTATAAAATCCGATTTGTATGAAAAATAAAATAATTAAAATGAAGATATCAATTTTCTGACTTCACCATACCATTTATATGACCATGTTAACATGGGCTAGTGTCGGCTCATATACCCATTTACCTAACACCCTGTAGTTGAACGATGGTAGCGCCCCCCTGTCATTGAGTTTGGCAAAAATCGGAACTAGCGATCCGGTTTTGACGGTGGCGCCCCACTGTCAATGTCATGCATAGGACAGTTCAGTATTTTAGAACTATAAACTGTTTACACATGTAAACAGTTTATAGTAGATGTCGTTGCTGTCATCATTGTTGTCGCGAGCAATGTGTTCTGTTTTTGGGCATATTGCTGCGACACTGGCCCCGCCCCCTTTTCACATCGCCCTTTAGTTTCTGTGATCTGTGCTACTGACAATAGTTCGCGAGCGAGTTGAAAGCAGAGCGCTAGAAGCCAAATGTACCAGTTAGTGCATTTAACTCACGAACTATAAAAGCTTTTGATAGTAGCTCAACTTTGCGCGAGATAAAAGACGTGACTGTTCTCGCGCGATCTCTTCATGCCTTGCAGAAACATTTTCACTTCAATGTTTTCTGCCGCGAACCATGACCACATCGCCATTGTAGAAAAAAGTCCTGAAAACCTTAACATAAAATGAAATACCATCCAAAAAGGCTGATAGGTGACACAACCGATGATAAGTTATCAGAATCTAGTCTTTACAGAATAACGCTTCGAAACGACGACATTCGTTGCAGCCCAGCACAGCAGCATGTATTATTACGTTTTTTATTTTTGCCTAAAGTTAAAAGGAACAAGATTGCAAACCAGCAAGTTAATGCATAATAAATTAAGGGTCAGCGAAACATTAGAATTATCGCTGAGGACCTTGAATTAACTGCATAATGGATTACGTTAAAGTTATGATTGACGCACGAGTTGTTCGTTAAAATCTAGTTAAATTTACAATTAAATTGCTTGCTATAACGTGACATGCAAAAAATACATCCGGCTGCGTACATCAGGCGACCGTACAGCGATCTACTACAAGTTGAATAACACTTCGCCCTATTTCCATAGACTTACGGACGATTATGTTGTTACTGATTTGTTCGCTGTACGATAGAACTGCACCATAAGAAAGGGGAAAACAGTAAGCTTGCTACCGACAAAGCTATATCGTCGTAAGAGGTGACTTATGCCCGTTTTCACCATCAATCCCTAATTTGTAAGTGACCCCTATGGTAACACATAACAGGCATTTTGTTTTCATAGGGGTCACTTAAAAATGAGGGATTGATGGTGAAAACGGGCATTAGAGAAATATCCCCTTGTTATAAGTACAGTTTGATTTGACCTTGACTAAGATTTTTTTGGCGGAAGTAATTTTCTGGTAGAATGGAATGAAAAGCCTTCAAATAGAATATAAAGCTGTTTGCCAGTTAGTACTGGTGCGGATCTACCGTGTATATTTCTCCTATACCCATAGGCAGCGTTATTACCGCGACCAGTTGGAGCGCAGCGAAGCAATTATCTAAATTGCAGCAGTTACGCGCGACCGGAATGATTCCGTTGCATAAACCGGCGCACACGAATCCATCGCGGCAGGAACATGGTGACACGACGCTAGCACACACGCAAAATGCACTTTCGAACGCATAGCGTGGGGCATTGTCAATGATGTTGATGACATTTGAGTTTCACCAAGTATTTAGAAATCGTTAGAAATCAACGCTAGGTGCATACAGGTTGGGCTGACAATTTAGATAGATCTTATAATGAACGTACTTCCATGAGACATATTAAATCCAGTGCCTATATTTATACAGCTTCAAGCACAAGTTTCAAACGATTAAAACTCGACTCAGTATGTAATGAAAATTGTATTTTTATTAAAATCATGATTGAGCTGACCTTGACGCTATGTAAACAAGATACCAACAAAAGATGTTCAATGCAAATTGAGTTTAATTATTCAGGGCGTTCGTTTGTATTTGCGGTGGCACAATGGCTGATGGTAGTACTTATTGCGGGGCAGTAAAGTGGTCGCAAAGCTGGCACGCTGCCAGTGATGCAGGATTTGTTTTATTTTTAAACCACTCTCGCATATTAGTTAACTCATGCACCCATATTGTTTGGATTTCATTATTCTACGTCACGTTTTTGAGAAAAGTGAAATGATTTTAGACATGCTCGTTTTTCGCTAATATTTGTATGGCACTGAATGAATTGTGTATGTAAAAGATATAAATATCCTCTTAGTCTTGTCTCCTTGCATACTTTAAACTAAAACCCTTTAAAGTATAAAGGGTTTTAAAGCCTTTCTGTTTATTGAAATTAAAAATTTATCATGTAAAAGTTGCACTTCATTATCTGAAAGTGAGTACCTAGGTATAATATTTTTATCTGAAGTGTCTATCGATCCTTGGAGAACCGAAAGTTTTCTGACAATCACATTTGCACATAAATGTGTTTAAATCTTAGTTTTTTATTGCTTTGGCAATGGGGCCGTTCAAGTATTACGTAAGCAGATTTCTTACCATTTTTTACCCCCCCGCCCCCCTTGTCATCAAAAGTAAGCAAAGCACTTACCCCCTCCCCCTATGCTTACGTAAACATTTTGTTATAAATGTTTTTTATATTGTCATTTTTAAAATAGACAAATTCATGAAAATATTAGGTTTAACTGATACACACTGATACTCTATGAGTAGGAACAAAAAAATATAATCAGAAAAAAAGAACATAACAAACATAATTGCATCAATTATGCATCATCATAAACACAAATGATAACTTTCAATGCTTACAATCCGTTTAGTATCCAAACAAAACACGCGCGCGGGAGGCCGGCCTCGCGTATAATAATATTTTATGCGGACTACGACTCTCAAATTTCAATGGGCAATGTCGGAACGAGAGTTAATTATTAGACAAGTGAATAGCGCACGGTAATTCCCCTAATCAGTTCTCAAAGCGAGTGCCTACGCATATGCACCCTTAATAAATGAATGGGCACAACTCCAAAATTCCGTTTTTTGGGAAAAGCCAAAAAACCAATCGGCGGATCGCGGTTTTTTACATAATTGGCTCTAAAATCTTTATTTTATCAGCTACGACTTTCAAATTAAGCATACTTCATCACTGGTATCTGTTATATAATTTGATATAAGACATTTTTGAAAATATTGATTATGACTCATAATCAATATTTTTTGAATTTTCATAATTTATGAGTATTTAAAAAAATTGTTTAAAAANTTTTCACTGGGGGTACAGAGATAACGTCTGTTTCGTTACGTCAATGATTGTTTAGAACCACCTGTTTAATGACGTTGTAGGATAGCTGTTGTTTGGGGCGTTCACGCGCTGATTGTACCAGTACAATATCTACGTTTCAAACGATTGCGAAGTTTTCGCAATGAATCGCATATCACACACGCTGGACGATACCCAGTGCCATTGAGTAGGTGTCACATATGCCACAGGAACTGGCTATCGTTATCACAAAGCGAACTTCCACTCGCCATATAAAAATGTGATTTGATTGTTGTTTAAACGAGTCAACTGTGTCGATCAGTCGCACTTTATCTTATCTACTTCAATCAATTTCTTGTTATTGTATGAATCACACTTTAATTCTTTTTATATCTTTTTTTATATCATAATTTACTTATTTTAAATCTACTCGCATTAGATGAATTGGTTGAATATTTCTGCTGTAATAAATAAATATAAATTAATTATTTAGGTAGGTTCTTTAAGCTATTTAATGAGTTACTTTATAAAATCGACGTAGCTATGGTAACACAGGGACAACAATTACGACTTTTGTCTGTTAACCAGATAATTACCTTAATGAATTCGAGGACATTGCAATAATTAAGCGCGATGTCGACGTCAAATGAAAGCATTTGTTAATTTGACCTATTTGTGTAAGTCATGATTATATTTTTTTGTGAAAAAACGGAGTAAAGAAAATAATTGTTATAAATAGGTATTTTAAAACTTGAGCAATTTTTATGCGGTCTGATTGCCACCACCCACTTATCAAACTTGGAACCGTTATTTGAAGCCTAATATTTGAGAGCAACTAACTTAATTTACATTTTCCGATCAAACCTAAAGTAATGCTTACTAATGAATGTCTAGTGCGATAATCTTCAAATTAAATAAAAAGTAATTCCTAAGATAAAGTACCTTAGTGTATGATTTTGTAGCGAATTGAATTCGCAACGCTATTCTGTGCGATTGACAGTTTTAAAAATTACGCAAAACTTGCAGCAACTGATGTGACGTAATTTGGTGATCTCTTTTTAATTTCTAGATATTCTTTCGTAAATCTTTAGGTTCAAAAGTAGTTAATCGGTTTGCCTAAATCGATACCTAAGATGCCTTATTATTCAAAGCTAGAAAAATATTATTATGTAGTAACTATATTATTTTAGTTAAAAATAATTATATTATGATGTAAATTCTAAGGTAATAAGAAGTTCTTAAATATTTATACAATATTTATGTAATTCACATAAAACTTTTACACGATGTAATTGTTATCGGTATAAAAATAAATGCACCTACTTCTTTTAATATATGAGTCTAGGTCAGAAGTCAATTACTTGAAATCTTGTTGTATTAATAGCGGCGTTGATTGCACGAGAAGGGTCATTATACTTCATGAGGATCGGTTGAAGAAACCTTGGTTCGCCATTTAAACTCGGCGGGTGTACTACGGCTATTGATAGCTCGATAAAAAGCAATCATTGGCTGTGACGACACTCCATTGACTGATAGCTTTATTCGGGCTCTTGTTTGTTATATTTTCCTGCTTTTCATTGTAATAATAACCTTCCTTCTGGCGAAGTCGGGTAAAAAGGGGGTTGACTTCTGCTAGTTTGCAAAATATATCGTTGGTTTCTGCTGGACTAACCGTAACAAGTAAAAAAACTTTTTCGTGTTAAAGTCCCATAATGACGTGTAAAGAGGGGTATAAATAGGACAGTAAAATTAAATAGAAAATGAGAATGGAACTGTATCCGCCTAGTATGGAAATAGCTGGGTGTGATGTCACGACTCACTGTTCACGCCCCCATATAACTGTACTGTACAACAGTCGATTCTCGAATTTTCTAAAGAAACCGTTTGAAAACCTTGTGAAATATTTCACCAACCATCACTTAGGCAGTTGATTAGGTATATTCAATGCGGTGAATTGGGTAGTTGACAGCAATAATTTTGCCTATTAAAAACACCCGTAAAACTGTATTGTGTATGTAAACGTAGGTATTCACATTTTATAGTTAAATAGTTTGTTTTATATTAGTATTTTTTTATTTTCAGGCAAACTCGAGGATCAACCTGATACGTAGAGTGGACCACGAGTGGCTTTACGGGAGTCTTCGCAGCGGCGCCGAAGGTTTGTTCCCGTGCAGCTACGTCGAGATCAAGGTGCCTCTCCCGAACGAGGCGAAGCCGGCCCACGTTGCCACGGCCACGGCTCTCTACGACTTCGAGCCGGCGCAACCAGGAGACCTACGCTTCCGTATAGGAGACACCATAACGGTACTGCAGAAAGTCAGCGATGAATGGTACTTTGGAGAATGTAACGGCATGAAAGGACAATTCCCCGTCAATTACGTGCAACTAAGCTAAATAAGCCCCAATTAAATGCCCCAGGTAGACATACTACTCCAATGTGATACATTGCATGAAGACTGACTGTCTATCATATCAAAAGGGCCAGTTTCATAAACTTGTTGATAAAGTCGCTGACAGCCTAAAACTTACTGTTAGATAAACTACAAATCTTGTTTTAACAGGTCTCGAAAAGAGATAGATGTCTGGTAGTTGGCGATTTTATTAATTTTTCTTTGATAGATGACAACTATCTACATTTTTTTTATAAAGAAACCGGTCCTTAATCTTAACTACCCCTCGACGATATGGGGGGTATAATAGTTAATACTAGTTAGTGCAATATATTTCCATTTTTTGCTATGACAACATTTAGAGAGCACCTTTTTGCGTAACCAACGTCCATTTTTACAAAAAATTAGACAATTTAAGCCATTTATTATGTACAATTACTAAAATGAGTTTTGCACTCTTGTTGCCATAATAAAACTAAGTAGCTGTATGTACAGGTAGTTTTTAACGGACGAATAAAGTGGCCTGTATATGAGCGTTATTTAAAAATGCAAGATTAGTTTGTAATGACTGATTGTAAATATTAGTGCTTTTATTTAACTAAAACGCCCCTTCGTTAGAGTATTAATTATCTTAGTTGGTAAAGGTTGTGTAATTATATTACGTTTATGTATAATAGTCCTGATATGATCTGAAAATTTAGTTGTATACATATTATTATAGTTTTGCTACTTATTTTATACCTGAGATTACAGCCGAGTGGCTGAGTTAGCAGCTTGTAGGTGACGTTATAATGCTTTAAATTGTATATTATGTTTTATAACTAAACCAAATAATACAATGCAGTAAGTATCCATTTTCTTTGTCAAGCAAAGTGTGGGTTACTCAATAAGTTTAACTTAAAAAGCAATTCGTACGACGCGTTACAAAAATATATGTATTTATTGATGCCATGTATAATATAATCAGCTGATAAGTTAACGTTACTTCTTATGTTGGTTTATAAAGTCAATATGTTGTAATTGTATCTATGAAATCCAATTATTCTACGTACAGTTGATATATTTTTTGTAATAATTTGTATATTTTGTTAGGTTCTGTTTGTGTCATTTAAATGTTAATAATTATTGTTTCGAGGGACCATAATATTAAGTGCCTTAAGTATTTTTGTGTATAATACAATGAATTTATTTATGTATAAGTAATGAAATAAAATCTAAATGTCAATTATTTCATGATATTTTATTTGTTATGCTAGTACTTACTAAGTATTATTATGAGTTGCGCGTACGCGTTGCTTACGTCACCTAGCCTGCTGTACGTCGCGTAGACGGAACGCACGCATAGCGTTCTTGTTTCCAATAAATTAGACTGATTTTATGGCGCCTTGGTACATAACGTAAGAGAATCGTAGCTATAAAATAATACCTACCCAAAACTAACGCGCTCTCCCGATTATGAAACATCGTGGTTGGATTGATTGGGTTAACAAGTCAGTATAATTAAGTAGTACCTATTCAAATCGTGACTTTAGCGTTGTTAGATTTACACCTGGGTAAACAAATTCGTTAAGTCTGATGCAAAACAATAGCACTTGAATGATGGAATTGCTAAGAAGTAAAATAAAACATGCCTCATTACATCACATTAAGTGAGCTTTATTTGAACAAAAATAATCTATACGTACTTAAAATATTTACAATTCCTTAAATTACAACTTAATGTCAACATACCCTGTTCACTTTTCAACCGTTGCCGACAAAAACAACTTGAGACATGTTGGATGGCAAGACAACGCTCCAATTTGTGTTCTCCCAATAGTTATGAATGCGGTGAGACTTTATTGCGAAATAGCGACTACAATATTTAACGAAAATCCGGCACATTCACAACACGTTGAAAAGGGAAAAGAGGGCGGGATTTTTCTAATATAGAATACGTACATACTTTTATAATAACTAATTGTCTAATAACACAGTCCCGAACATTTCCCTAGCGTATTAATTAAGAATTATCTTTCGTATTTCCTCGCTATGGCTTTAACGTATTCCTAAATCTGTAGAAACTGACAATTCAGGTACAAAACATACATTTAGTAAAGTATCAGGCTGGAAAACAATACGAAGAAAATTTTAAAAGTTACAAAATATGATTTGTTATCAATGAAATTGACTTACGTTTATTGCAACCAATAGAATTAATTACGACAAATTGAGAGAACGAATGAGTGTTATACCAATAGAAATGGCATTCATAAACGTGAGTAAAAATAGAGCTGACTATATTGCACGAAGCTAAGTGATTACAAAACAAATTGCATATCACATACCTAACTGTTCTAATAATGTTTATGACGGTTGTAAGGCTGGATAACGGCTGTAACCATATCAGTTTGTTTGCCCACCAATTTAGTAGGTGTTCCCACTAACATTTTATTTCTCTAACATAAAAACTGCTATACAGTAAATCATCATACAAGTTACAACATTAATTATAAAACATAGGTTATTATTACTAGATTACAAGCACTTCAACATAAACTATCAGATATAAAGTTATCTGAAGTAATGTCTAAAGGTCGAAACGTTAAAAAATAACTGCAGCACAAAGTTAAAAGTGAGTAATGTGTATGAGTCACACACAAGATTCAACTAATAAAGTAGAAACCTAACTATTTCTTTTTTGCCAGCCTCATTTTTCGAAGAGGATAGTTTCTAAAACCCAACAACTTCCCAACAATACGAATTTAACATCATTAAGATCATTAAGTATTATCTTAAGAAGTATAGTACTTTAACATACACATTAAGTTAACATTTTGCATTTAAGCAAATAAAAGCTTGCAATTTTCAGTGACATCTATACACAAAAAGCAAGTAACTATACCATTTAAATTTATTTGTCCGTTTACAAGGAAGTGTAAGACTTACCCAAGTACTGTGCACAATCTGATTTGCAAATTTTCTTACTACAACTTCCACACTCCAATTTGATAAAGCTCCTTAGATCTACTTATACGAGTTGCTGCTGCAAGTTCTTGTTTTTAGTACCTATACTGATTTATATAGACACCCAAAGAACATAAAATTTCTTTGACACATGTATTTCTGGGCTATCATTGAAAATATGGAGTGTGATATTCTTTTCTTAAAGTTATTAGTCAATGCTAATTATTGATTGTACCCTGGGCCGAAATGCTTGTGCACAAATCGCTTATTGTGGTCACTTGTAACATACATAATGCTAGATGCGATGATACAATATTGTTTACGATTTTAGGATTATATTATTTACAGATCGTTTATGTAGCCCACAGGCAAGCCTTGGAGCAGAGAATTTAGTCAGGCCTGTATATTGGTATTTTGGGTATGAATTCTATAAGAAGTACATATTCCATCATAGATGACGAGTCACAGTGCTGCTTCGTCAGGCGCCAGCGGAGTCCCAGCTTGTTGTATAATCTGCTGTTCTCCCATTCCAATAATTTGTTGAGAGAGTGTTGAGTCTAAAAGAAAAGAAAGTATTTCACATTATTAAGAAATCCTGCACCAGTATCTGTTGGAAACTTAAGACTTGACAAGAAAGTTGACCTATACATTAGCAACTTTATACTGTTTCAGAATAATCAAATGGGCCTGCTGAGAATAATTGGTGCAATAATCTTGAATTGAATCATTCAATGAATATAATTGGACCCATTTATGCAAACGGGAACCAACCCACAGTTTGAGTGAAATTGAGTTAAGTACATAGATGGCGCTCAAATAACGCATTCTATCTTGTAAAAAAATTTGGTTCCTTTACAACGACTAACAACAGAGATACAGCACTGTCACTTGCGGAACCAACCCACTTTGGCCAACTTTTAAAAAACTATAAAGAACTAAACAGCATGGTACCTAAACACTTAATTAAACTAATTATGCAAACCAGAACCAATGTTGGTTGGTTCCATTTAGCAAAAATAGTTACAATTTTTTTATAAATAAGCAGAACCAAAGAGTTTTGTTCTTGTTTGAATAATCAAATTAGGTTGGTCTTGAAGGAACCACATAGCATAGTTCTTATTCTCGCAAATTTCCGCAGTATTTACACGAAAATAAAAGGTCCATGTACTTAGCATAGTTCTTAATAGTGTTAAAATTAAGCTTTATTTAAAAAAAATAAAAATCCGTTCTTATCGTTGCATTGTTGGTACCTTTAACATAAAATGATTTGAATAATATATTTATGCATTTTAAAACTCTACTCAAGAAAAAATAAAGAGATGAGACGAGGCAGTATGATCTATGACCTTAGCCTGTTCTTCGAAACGAAATAACGACGTTGACAAATCATGAATGAGACGATTCGTGATGACTCTCGAAAACAGCCCCCCTAGACAAAACGCACTTTTTAATCGAATCGAAAATCGAATCGGTCAAAACTCCATACAAAAAAGGGGCTTTTCGACTGGTTAATTTGCACTTTGTCTAGACCAGACACAGCTTGTAGACATGGCTCAGAAGTGAGATGGGTCTATAATCCTTCAACAAAGTTTTGTCGCCTTTTTTGAAGAAGAGTATCACCACACTTCTGTGCCATGCCGTAGGCGTTTTCCCTCGAGGATGACGGAATAAAACAGCTTCTGAAGAGCCTTTAGTACCGGCGTTCCTTTCAAAAGCTCAGCCGTGATTCCAGTGTTGGGTCAATCTAGCTCTTGGATCTTCGGCTAGATTTGTGACAGGTGTACGTACAACTTCCGTACGTTCCGTATCTTCCGTCCGTAGAACTTCTCAACCTCTTCCAATAACTCAGGCCCCAACGAGATGTCTCTGCCATCCTCAGTCTTCACCTTGATTTGTAGGCTTTGGCCAATAGGCAGATCTCTTGCGAATACTTTAGAGCTCTTGTTACGCTCAATCGCTTCTTTTATACGGTCTGTATTAAATTGGCGTAGGTCGCGAGTCAAAGACTTGGAGATCTGTCTCCTCTTACGACACGACTCCTGTTGGCGGTGGGGAAGAGTACCTATTATTTATGGCCGTCCCCACACGGCACAAAGAAGTTAATGTACAGACAAATATCAGAAGCAGGGCCGTGATAACCAAAAGTGATATGGACTTCCTTTAGCCTACAGGAAAAGCTATATCTGAGGCTAAACTAACAGAATGTTACAATTATTCTGCATCTTATACCAAAACGACACACACGATTTCTAAAAAACCCTGAAAAGTAGCAACATAGAAGACGATATTGACGGTTTTACCGGCCCTAACGATTTTGAGGTAGAAGACGATATTAATAGTGATTTTAGTTTTAAGAGTTCGTGATTCCATCGTATAATTTTCGTATTAAATGAAAGATAATGATTTACTATCTAATAAATGGCATTAAAAACTATATTTTATATAGAATGACTTTAATTTTTAGAAATATCACAACAAGAAATCTTACATCCGTTTTGCAAGAAAGAACTAAGCAACAAAATATGTTTTTGCAAGAAAGAACCAACCGGTTTTTATCGATTTACTTTATATTATAACTTTATAAAATTTATAAATCTGATATTCCTAGATAGGCTGCAGTATCCCACATAAGATTAACAAGTAATCATTCATTAATATATTATGTACGCATTTTGCAACATCTGTTTACAAAAGTCTCGTTTTCTCGAAACCACCCTGCTGTGGGTTGGTTCTTGTTTGCATAAATGGGTCCAATTATAAATGAGAACAGTTATAGAAAAATTATGTAAATACTGCAATTTAGTACATACACTTACCCTTTTACTAAGGCATATAACTGGCCAGAGAGAGCATCCTAATGTACAACAGCAGCAAACACAGCCACAGAACAGCCATTTGACGTTGACAGGCAAGGTCTTCTTTAGAACGCTGTTGATGCGGGCCACCGTCGCCTGGTACTCTTCGGGTGCCACTCGCGACTGCAGCCCAGATGGGAACTCCGTATTAAAGCGGTTGCTTAAGCCAAAACTGAAAAACAAAAATCAATATTAAAGCTTCTTTTCAACAGTCAAAAAATATCAATGATAATATTATAAACAATATAATGTAGTAGATTAACTGCACTGCCTTACAAAATCCATGCATTAGTAATTATATTAATGAGTTCTTCAATTAAGGATAGATGGGCCATAATTAGGAATGAGTAGGTATCTAAATGAAGTGCAAATAACAACCAATATTGATAGCATTAATGTAAGCAATATTATAAATGTTTGCTCATTCTTGACCTTGCCATCTATACTCCTTGAGTACACTTTGTTTCCACATAAATCAACCTTGAACAGATGACAATGTTAGAATATTGTATTTATGGAGCATGGCCATGGTGTATTAAAATTTTATATCCTACTGCATCAAAAAGTACATAGCTAAACAAAGATATAATTGATTCAAAACCTACATTAAAAGTTTCAATAAAGACCAATATTTTAATTAAAAGTAACTTTTTAATCTAATTTATTAGTAAGCTTATTATTATATAATAAAGATTGTTTACATAATAAAACACAAATAAGAACAACATTATGGCAGGCCAAATCATAACACAAAGCTTAATAAACTTTGTATTGATGCATCAAAAATAAAAATAACTTGCAGTTCAAAATGTGGAAAATTGTAGGCCCATTCTTACAAAAAAAAGAATGAGGCTTTTTTTTTGTAAGAATGGACAACTACAAACTACAAAGGATTTTTGTAAGATGAGATATCTAAATTCGTCAAGAAATTGTGATTAAGATAAATCATGGACTAAGAAATCAAATGACCTTTACACGTATGCAATTGGTATTAATTTATCATGTTCGTGTTCTCAAGAAAATTGAAATTGGCGCCAGGTCAATATCCGACTCAAGAAATCACCTCAATGCCATTGAACGCAGACGACAAAGAACAAGAATAGATTTTGCTCATACGTGTCTCATATTTTTGGGAGAGCGAGATACGAGTTAGTATGATGTTTTACGCTGAACAGCTGATATTATGAACATAAAATTGAACCTTACACTGTCATGTTACCAGCTCCACGGACGACTATTGGATCTGGCACTAACGTCACATGTGTCTCCTCTATATTCTCCTCACTCTCAGTCTCATCTGGATAAATTGCATCAAAATCTGCCATTTTACTTATTATCTAACTAAAAACGATTATTATAAACACATCACAAAGCACTGTTTGTTGGATTTTTTTACACATTCATGGAAAAGAAAAGTGACGTTTCCATTTCATAAACAGAAATGATCGGTGTTGCAATCTTGGGTATTTAGTTTTGCCTTTTTTATCACCACTACTCACTGGGCTGGGTTTGAATCAGCAGCTGATGTTATTTAGGATTTATTTATATTTCACTAAATGTATTCAAAACTGTATCCATGCATCATAGTCAATTTGCAAAATAGACAAAGTTATTGCATTTAAGGAATTAAGTCATTTTTTAATATTTTTCAATTAGAGCTCGATAACTGTTTTAATATAAATGTAACATTACATAACAATTATTGTGACATTAACAACAACACAGTGCTAACGGCAGTTTTGAGACAATAATCAGAATCAATAAAATTGTGGACCACAAAACAAAAAATATTTCCCAAAAAATGGGAAAATCTGTCTGAAAGTGTTAAAAGTTTAAGCAGGTAGTACAAGAATTTTTGAACAGATGTCAGTAAAAACACGGATTCTTGTAGTTCACTGGATGATATGAACTTAGATTATAGATGTCGCCTTTTGCTAAAAATCATATCGTAAATTAGTGATAACATTGTTGTAATAAATTGATAATAACGTTAATCCCAAAAAAATATTTGTTTTAAACATTTAGTCTATGTAGGTTAATTATTTATTGTATTATGTAATTACTAGTTTTTGCCCGCGGTTTCACCCGCGTGAAATTTCGTTTGTCACAGATCGACATAAATTATAGCTTAAATGTTATTCTGGGTTATAAACAATGATACTGTAAAGTTTCATCAAAATCCGTTTAGTAGTTTTTGCGTGAAACAGTAACAAACATCCAGACATCCAAACTTTCGCATTTATAATATTAGTATATTGTTTACCTGTTTAATAAATTATACTATCGAAAAAAATAAAAATAAAATAATAATAATAAATTGTTTCAAGTATCCATAAATAATCCCATAAATATTTTTGTGTAAAATAAAAATCGCATCGCATTGTTCATATTAGAGAAAAAAATAATTATGATGGTTGTATATTTCCCAATTATTATTAATAAAACTTTTCAATTAATTATATAAAGTATTTATACCAATTACGTATATTATTTTCGTAATTGATTATAATAATAATTGGAAATATGGTATTACTTAAATAAAAGTATGGTATATACTAACGATTTTGCTTTTCTCTCTAGAGTTTTCTTGCCTTGTCTCCTAAATAGTTTTATATCTGGCACTTAGCCAGAAGGATATCTTAGACTTGTCATGCTCACTAAAATGTCTCTGGGGTAGTGGCGTGTCGTTACATTCCCTATAATATGGTCGAGTGAAGCGATGGCTGGTTCACACGTCACGTCTGTGAACAGGCGCTGCCTTCGGGGACTGGTCAAGGAAAGATATACCTGACATAAAATATATATGTATCAAAACGCAACAATTAACCTAGAAATTAGCACGGCACTAAATAAATAAATAAATATATTCAAAACTGCCACGCGGTCTCGTGCTAGATGGGCGTCTTAAAGGCCACCTTCTATCAACGGGAGCGCGTGGTAAGTAACTTGCTTCTGAATGTATTGTAACTTCCTACTTTTTTATATTTTTAAACCGGCAGACAGTGGTGACTGAGTTTGTTGCGGCGCTTCTTCTCAGCACTTGCCAAATGTTTGTCTCGAAGCGCTGGTAGGGCAAAAAAATAATGAGACATGTATAGGCTCCTTAAGAGCATTTGACGATTTGCAAGAACTAATTTAATTAGTCTAAACAAATAAAGAAAATTTAGATTTTGATTTTGATTAGTAAATTAACAAAAGTTTTTTAAGAATGTGGCATGGTATGGTGTTCTAATAATTATCACATTAAAAAAACATAATTAGTTGTGTTGGTAATTTATTAGTAGCTTTGTATCTTACATAAATTAGGTAATAATATTTTATTTCATGTCCTTTAGTTCCACTCTATAATAATTCTACACTGGTTCAATTAATCCGTATAAGGGCAGGGCTATTCTGAATTATCTTCGAATGTAGCGCGGCCACTATCACACACCCAGCAGTGATAACATGCATTGCAATTTATATGCAGCTAAACGAGAACAGCCAATGTAGAACTAAAATAAAAAGGGGAAAAATGCTGACTTTATGTGAACTTCCACAACTCTTACGAGTGTATACTGCGTTTAAATATTGTGGCACCCAACGCGTGAGTGACGTACAAAAGCAACCACCACAGGGAATAACTTCTTGTAAATTGACAAGGCCAGTAAATAAACGCATGGGAAGGATACAGAATTCAATGCTCACTTGTCTATTACAGGCCGATTGAAGATAGATATTATATCAATTTGATTTGCTTTACTCCACTTATTTGAAAATGACTGACTGATCTTTTCGGAATGTGTGTTGCAGCTGTGACCCAAAAACTTGTGACATACGGACACTACCTAGCACTCATAGACCGATAAACATTAAGGTCATATTTGAATAAAATGGAATAATAGCCGTTAGTTGGTGTATGTACGGTCTCTAGCTGTACCTAGGTATGCTATGTACACGACTTTTAAACATGCATGTAAACTAAGCATATTAATTTCGAATTATGTAAAGTTATGTTAGCTTTTTTTATTAACTATAATTAAATTAATTTTTAATTAAAAGGATATTAATAGAATAGAATATTGTTTATTTGGCACGATACATCTATGTGATGTTAAATAGCCATATTAATTTATTTTAAAATCTACTAAATGGATGGAGGACAGATGGACTTTGTTAGTCATATAAATAAACTATTGTTTATGTAATGGCTGTGCCGAACTCTCTATTGTAAATATTCTACGTGTGCTTTGATACCAATATATTTATTATGTTACTACCAACCACTGTGTTTATTGCTCTGTAGCGGACTTAATATATCCCTAACAAGGGTTATGGGCCCAGAGCCCCAGAGCAAAGTAACATTTTAAAATAGTTTGTCGTGAAAATAATTTCGTATAAAGTGACGTGAACAGAATGTCGAATGTACGTATTGAGTTATTGAGAAAAGACAACTATGATAGTTGGAAAGTGCAAGTAGAAGCCCTATTGATCAGAAATGATTTTTGGGAATATGTAAGTGGAGAAAAGTCAAAACCCACGGATGAGACATTATCAACAGCATGGGATTTTGCTGACAGAAAGGCAAGATCGGAGTTGATTTTGTCATTGGATCCGAGTGTTGTTCATCATGTGAAAAGATTGAAGACTGCACGAGAGGTTTGGCTGAAATTAGAGAGTCTGTTCGTATCACGTGGACCTGCGAAAAAAGCGACCCTGATGAAAAGGCTCATGCTACACAAGATGAGTGAGGATCAGAACGTATGCGAACATCTTGATTTATTTTTTGAAGCTGTCGATAAGTTAGAAGAAATGGACATCGTGATCCATGATGATCTTTTAGCGATTATGTTGCTGTATAGTTTACCAGCAAGCTATGAGAACTTCAGATGCGCCATTGAAAGTAGAGACGAGCTGCCAAAGCCTGAACAACTTAGGGTGAAAATTATCGAAGAATACAGTTCGAGAGGGACTGTAATCCTGTACAAACTCCAATGGAGATGGGAAAGATAGCTATGAGTGGCAAAGAGAAGGATGAAGGAGGAAAGTCTTTTCCGTTCCGAGAACTCATAGGGGCACTTATGTTCTTGAGCGTAGCGACTAGACCAGATATCGCGAACGCGACGGCAAAACTCGCACAATTTTCAGAGAATCCTCAGGAAACTCATTGGAGAGCTGCAAAGCGGATCCTTAGGTACCTAAAAGGTACGATTACTCAGGGTTTAACATTTAAACCGATGGGTAAGTGCATTCAAGGTTATGCGGATGCAGATTGGGGTAACTGTGAAACAGATAGACGATCTTTTACCGGCTATGTTTTCATTTTAGGCGGAGCAGGTATCTCATGGGCATCACAAAAGCAACGCATCGTTGCGACGTCGACTTGTGAGGCTGAATTTGTAAGTTTAGCGGAAGCTATGAAAGAAGCAGTGTATTTGAATGGCTTACTGAAGGAACTTGGTCTTCAACATTGGTCTAAGGTAAGCATGCATGCTGTGTAATGGCTGTGCCGAACTCTCTATTGTAAATATTCTACGTGTGCTTTGATACCAATATATTTATTATGTTACTACCAACCACTGTGTTTATTGCTCTGTAGCGGACTTAATATATCCCTAACAGTTTAAAATTTAATAAAATAAATGGTTATTCATAAACTAACGTTTCCAAAAACATGATTATCTATGTTTCTTACTTACTTTAAAGGTCCTGCTAAAATTGTAAGGTATCTATCTTTTTATGATGTTAGAGACGTTAATTTTAGCTTGATTGATTATGATTAGCACCGCAACCTTAACCAATATGCAATAAATAAACGTATTATGAATAAATCATACACACCAACGTAAAGGGAATAGGGCCGGCCGCATAGAGCTGCATTTTTCTAAGGCGGGCGTTTGAACTGCGCATGCGTGTATAAAAGCGGTGCATGCGCAACCCTCTGCACTCACAACACTTGGGAACGTCGAACCTACTCAACATGAAGGTACGATACCTTTTGATATTAGATCTTAATTACTCAATAATAAGTGTAAATAATAATTATTTCTGTAGAATTTGTCATGGATTTAAAGTTTCATGATTAGGTAGGCCTATGTTTTAACCCAATATTGTAAAACTGAAACGTTGGGAAAGTTAAGATGTTTCTTTAACATAAATTAAATTTTAAAAACATGTATAAAAATAATTAGAAACATGATAAAATCCTTTTTTTTTTAAAGATTATTAGTAATTTGTTATTACACAAATTACTAATACTCCCGTTAGCCCCTCGTACTAAGCTAAATATGCTTGTGTCACGAGTGAGCTCACCACAATAGTCGAGCGGCGGCGGGGACCGAACCCGCGTTCCCCGGATCACGAGTCGGCCAGTCCGACCCCTTCACTTATAATATATCAAAAGTTTTTTTTATCAAAAATGATACTATATCAAACGTCGGTTTTCAGGTCATCATCGTAGCTACTGTCCTAGCGGTGTGCAGCGGCGCCTTGGGCGGCGTAGTGCCGGTGGCGGCGCCCTACGCCTACGGGCGGCCGCTGGGGCTGGCGGCGCCGGTGGTGGCACACGCGCCCGCTTACGCAGCGCCTTACGCAGCGCCTTACGCCGTCGGCGTCGGACACGCCATCGCTAAGGTGGCGGCTCCGGTCGACGAATACGACCCCAACCCCCAGTATTCATACGCTTACGACATTCAGGATGCTTTGACAGGTATGGTATACACAAGATTTTATAATTTTCGCTTGGTTTACTACCCTTTCGAGCTGAATATTATGTCACGTAGACAATTTCATATTGATAACGGCATGTAAAGAAGCAGTAGCTTAAAAATCTCCGTATTAGGAAAGTGCCTTCAAAACTTGATTCGGTCAAGTATAGATTGATTGTTATAGACTTTCATTGGCTGAATTTTAATATTGAGTCCAAATATACGTCAGTGTTTAAATCGAGTTAGATTGAGTTTCAATCATTTTAGACTCTATTAACTAAACACATCACCCGAAGTAACCCATGTTCTTATTTCTTTCGCAGGTGACTCCAAGAACCAGCAAGAGACCAGAAACGGCGACGTAGTCCAAGGCTCGTACTCGCTGGTGGAGCCCGACGGCACCCGGCGCGTCGTGGAGTACACCGCCGACCCCCACAACGGATTCAACGCCGTCGTGCACAAGGAGCCGGTGGGCGCCGCCGTCGTCAAGGCCGTCGCTCCCGTCGCCGCCCACGCTTACCTCCACTAGTCCCAAACGATGACCACCAGACGGGGCTGGAGTAATCAGAAATATACCATCTTCGGGGCCCTAGCATCTATGACCACCAATGTCATCAACTTTCACCATTGTATCAATAACTAAGAGACGGTAGTTACGTAAAATGAGCCCTCATTTCTGTAATCTTAACTTCGTCTGACAGATTTGCCGCTTAGATGGATTTAGAGGTGCCGATGACATTAAACTACATTAAATACAGTTTACTGTCCGCCTCGTGATATGTAGTCTAAGAAATCGGCCACCAAACGTATTAAACTGGTTATCAAAGGAGAACTTTGGATATATTTTGCGCTTTATGAAAATTAGAGTGTTCCGCTTTTTTCTTGATTATTATTTTTTGTTAACGGACTAAGAATGTCAGTTATTGTTTACACGTTGAACTTAAGGGGATCTAATTGTAATTAGCAGTTGTTAGGAGTGATGTCAGCGTGGTATTTGTTACGTGATTGTAAGTAATGCGTTTATTTAAATCCGTCTGGGCTGGCTTATGTTCCGTCCCAGTGACCTGAACCGTGTTGTGTTGATTATTTATGTTTATGTATTGTTATGTACTAGTGTTAAAACTAAGGTAATAAATAAGAGGAATCGAATTATTTGCTTTCATTTTAGTTTAAGTTTAAATGGTTAAAATATACAGGGTGTTAGGTAAATGGGTATATGAGCCGACACTAGCCCATGTTAACATGGTCATATAAATGGTATGGTGAAGTCAGAAAATTGATATTTTAATTTTCATACAAATCGGATTTTATAAAATTTATTTTGTATGAAAATTAAAAAAATTAAAATGATGATATCAAATTTCTGACTTCACCATACCATATAAATGATCATGTTAACATGGGCTAGTGTCGGCTCATATACCCATTTACCTAACACTCTGTATATGTATTACATGCTTATTTCATAAGTTCATAATCCTACTTTGACAGTAATATAATTTAATACATATTGAATCACTCACGAGCTTAATATCGTCATCAACATCACAAAAGTCGTCATTTTACGATAACGTAGCCATAACTATAAAATTAAATCGAATAAGTGCCCAACACGAATGGGGCCCTTGGCCTGAATCAGGTGGTTTGGTGTAAACGCGTAAATTTTTCTTGCTCTTATTCCAAAGTGGGTCAGTTCGCGTCGTAAACGTTCATCGGATGTGAGTAGGTAGTGCGATACTTATATGCAGTGCAATGTTCCGTGCTTCAAAGAGCTTGCGAAGGGCGTGTGAGTGCGAACCAGTTTGTGCGAATGTTACATGGAAGACAAAAAACTAAATTGAAAAATAATAATAAAAAAATTAAGCTTTATTGTAAATGCAATACTTATTCAAGATAGTTTCATTTGCTTATTACGTTTCTCACACTCTGTCTTTATAATGAAGAAAGGACATTGTCAGAAACCGCCTAAAAAACCGCCCAAAAACATTAACCCATCATAATTATTTTCTATTTTTTTTAATACATTAAGCACCCTTTCATTCTAATGGACACTTAAGCATTGAAAAATTAAATAAATAAGTCTTTTAACGTTTATTCTATAATACTATTACAACTTCCGGACGTTTTGGTGCGTGGCATGGTCTAAAACCTATCAAGTTCCATAATTTTTGCCGATAAAATCTGTACGAGGCATTACCGTACTTTATTGCTGGGAGTCCATGTATAGTGATGTTCCTGCGGCCATCATAGACAATAAAATATCGATTTTGAAAATAAAATAAATCGATTAAACTGCTTTGAAGACTAGATTTGCGTTAAAAGCTAAAAAGATATTGACAGTCTATTATTATATACGATTCGGCTTCGATATCTATAATACAATAGGAGTTTATTTCATGTGTCAGATGACAAGGGTGGAAACAACCTACGATTCATGTTGTTTATTTACGTGCAATATGTGGGCATATTGTAAAAGTGGAATGCCGAGTTGTATTTCTAAAACTTGTTCTATTATTTTATACTATTTGGCTGCGACTCGGCGTGACGACAATACAAAACATTTTTCGCGAATCGGTGTTCATACATTCACACAATACATTAGACGCCATGTTGTCATAAACGACATATTATAAAATCGCTGTGATTTAATATTCTTAATCATTAATTTTATGGCAAGTGTCCATCAGGAATCATTGTTCTTACACACAGAATCGTATTATTTCGCTTTCGGGTAGTAATATGTCAAAATTGTTGGTTCTTTAGGCGAACAATGTATGGAGAACGAACATTGTCCATCATTGGCTGGATTGGATTCTTTACACTACTTTAAAGTTAAAAAAGAAACAAGTTAACTTTTAAAGCTTTAAAAGTTATTAAAAAAAAACAAACCACTGTTATAATTTGACATAATTAATTCATTATTGTATTGTAACTAGGTAATAGGTACAAGAAATCGCAAGTGACAACCCTGAACCATATGTGCGCCGCGCCCTGCCATTATTCGCGAGCGCCTGCGCAGCGCTCGTATGTTTAAGGACTTGCGCTTTGTCAGATTGTAACTCGCATTTTAATAGATATTGGCCAATTTTGAAATATTTTTGCTCTATCGTCTGCAAACAATCAATCAGTTAGCTCTGCACTAAATGGACCAAAAGCACAGTCACACATAAATGATGACGATAAACAGTATTAACAAGATATAAAAAAACCTGAACTTTACAATTTAGTAGTAAAATTTCAAATTGCGATAAGAACTAAAGATGTTGATGGGTTATGATATTTATAACTCATAGAAGCTTTTCACACCATAGCATAGCTGCGACTCGTTCTAGATTCATCATACTATTGCATACGGTAGGTAGCTTATCGTCTGTGACATAATTTCGACCTCATTTAACTTCTATCCAATTTATCAGCTAGTTAAGCCCGGGTCACACATTGTAGGTAGGATGAATGCAATATGTGCATTAAATTTTAAAACTAAACCAAGGCTCACAGCTAGTCCTTTCTATTCGGTAACTTCAAATGGCAATCGAGGTACAAAAATACATACTCAGTGTTAACTTCTATTTTTAATAACATTATTTTTATGAATAAAAATTCTAGAAATGTAAAAGTGTACAGCTTTGCTACTTTTGATGCTGCCTGGTTGTAATTTAGTTTGTAATTAATACTATATTTTATCATGACTATCTTTTCATAAAATGTATTTTGTAATTAATAAAAGCAAATATTTAAAGTAAAGAATTAAGTAGATTAACTTAAACTTGACATTTTAACACCACAATTTTACGATGATAGCTTGAATACTTATGTGACGCGTTGATGTCTTTTCTATGAAAATATTTTTACGGGTTGCGCTTCCGCTAAAATGAACCATGTTGTTGAATGAATTTGAGTTGACATTCAAAATAAATATATGCCCTCATATTTAAATTAAATAATAATAGAATTTAAAACATAAACTAAAAACTTATTATTAAGTGATGAGTATAATAATTAAATGTACGATACAATGTACAATCCAGTAGTGTTCATAATTAGAGTTTTTTGTTATGAAATAGGAAAACAATAAAGCATAAATAAGATACAAAGAGGTGTACCAATTAAAAACACTTTACTCTGTTTTAAAGTACCGGAATCAGTGTAAAATTGTTTTTTTTTTATAAACACGAACAATCGGGATTATCAATAATCTTATCGACTGAAACGAAATTGCTTCCACTTATGGACAGACGAAACTAAAACAGCCAGTCCACATTGTTTTTATGCCTTTACTGAAGTATAGTCGGATGTTTTTCTCAAATAAATAGAGAAACGAGATATGAGGGTGTCCAAAAAAGGGGTTCGTAATTTTTTGTTTTAATAGTAACAACACATGTTTAGTACATGAAATTGAGGGTTTTTATAAGTTTGAATCTATGTCCTGTAAGGAAGTCGACACCCAAAAAAGTATTAATCAGACCCACACTGTTCACAAACAAGTAGTAGCGTTGATCACACGTCCGTTTGCCATAGTACCACAAATATAACATGTTTAATCTTTATCTTTAAAAGCGAAAGGTCATTGACTGATTGACTCACTCGCTCATCACGAAATCTCAGAAACTACAAGTGCTAGGAGTCTCAAATTTTGCATAGGGGCACCTTTTAGAACGTAGGTGCTGACTAAGACGGGTGTTGGGAACCGATAGGTGGACCAACCTCTTTTTTATATTGTCTATGTTTTTTATACTTTTTTTATTACTTTTGATACCTTTACCGTTTAGTTTGAAGTTGATGTTTTTTGATAGCCGTTGTGGGCATATTTTGCAGGAATATATCTTCATTTTAATCCGAAAAAAAAAAAAAGTATAAAAAACATAGACAATATAAAAAAGAGGTTGGTCCACCTATCGGTTCCCAACAACGGGATTTTGCAAAATTCAACCCTTAAGGGGTAAAACGGGGTCCAAGCGTATGAAGTCGCGGGCGGCCGCTAGTAGAATATATTTCTTCATGAGCTGGCTGTTCTCATTGGGCTGCACGCTCGTGACCTTGGAACTGCAGTCCTCTGCGCGTTGAGTAACACATGAGGCCGTGACTAATGCCCGCATAAGCCTAAGTAGCGCTGCACTTCACGACTCAATTCATCATAATTTATTACCTTTGCAAACTGAGTAAATAATTCCACGAAAAAATAAAAATCAAAAGGCTTCTCGATTCTCAAGATCATGAGTCTTATTGCACTTTACGATATTGTTAGAGCTCGAATGTGCTTTTTCTAATTCTGATTGAATGATTCTGTAGCTCAAATGTTTGACGATTTTGAGTCTCAACAAAAAGCAGTTGTATTTCAGCGCCAAAATCACCTGTCACTACTTTTTAGGGTTCCATACCCAAAGAGTAAAACGAGACCATATTAGCCTATTTCTGTCTGTCACCAGTATCTCATGAACCGTGATAACCAGACAGTTGAAATGTTTACAGATAATGTATTTCTTTTCCCGCTATAACAACAAATACTAACAGATTAAAATAAATATTTAAATGGGCTTCCCAAAAAAACTGTAATTGCAGGAACAAACTACAAGTTACATATTTTTACATACATACAAGTTGTACGGAACTCTTGGTGCCCGAGTCTGACTCGCACTTGCTTGTAGATATAGTTTCAGCTATTCTATTTCAGTAACCGATATTGACCTTTAATGCTAATATATTTTATGCAAAAATGTTTTGATGAAATGTCAATTCACTGGTCGTGACACCCTCAATGAAAGACACGCCTTTCATTTCAATTCCTAATAAGTCGAGCGTATTAGGTGCTCATTTTATAATAATATTTCTTGTTACATTTATTTTAATAAACTTTTTCCGGGAAATCAAAGCAGGATGTTTATTTTTATTTTTTACTACATAATGTCAACATATCCCTTTCGTTGTACCTTTAGTGCTTAGTTTAATGTATTTTTATAGCACCATAGAAGAATGGTTTGTTCTTAATTATAGTCTTTTTCACGTAAGATGATCCGTATGACACTTCAAGGTTATCCATTTTACGCATACTACATATGCAGAAAATTTTTGAAAAAATATTTGTATTTTATTAGCAATATAATAAAAATAAATTAATTACTTGTCTTGAAATATATAGTAAAATCTGAGTCTATTGATTATATTTTAATTAAATATGATGTAAAAATATTTTTTATTTAATGTACGCAATGTGTGAAACGGAATAGATTTAGTGCTGGGGTATTTCTTGTATGATAAAATCGATTATTTCCGCGGTTTATTAATCGATTGCAGTGAATACTTAGTTATTAAAAACATCACAAAAATCAACTATATTTTTTTCGATTATTGACTTTAATAAACGCATTGAAAATAAATTAATAGTTTTTATTTAAAGAAACAGAACCAGTACTTTTTAGGAATCGTTTTTTTGAACACGAACCATGAAATTTGAATAAAAATTGTTACAATAATATTTGTAATTAAAAAAACATGTTTTTTGTTAAATAACACCTACTTATCTATACTTATAATAAATCTGTAGAGAGGTCAATTCTGTACATGAAATATATTTTCAAAATAACTATCAGGGGGTGATTAGTGATCGATACTGATGCCAAAAATGCAATCAGTAAAATTTTTGTCTGTCTGTCTGTCTGTCCGTCTGTCTGTCTGTCTGTCTGTCTGTATGTTCCTTATAGAAACAAAAACTACTTGACGGATTTTAACGAAACTTGGTACAATTATTCTTCATACTCCTGGGCAGGTTATAGTATACTTAGGAATTCCCACGGGAACGGGAATTAGCGGCAAAATCCTTTTGTATGAAAAATCTAAACCGCTTAACTTAGACGCTTGAAATTTGGCATGCAGGTACCTTAGTAAACGTAAAGCTTAGTTACAACAGGATATTGCAAAAATCCCACGGGAACGGGAGTTAGCGGGAAAAAACATTTGTATGAAAAAATCTAAACCGCGTAAGATTGATGAAGGGGGTAAAACGGGATCCACGCGTACGAAGTCGCGGGCGGCCGCTAGTAAAATCCTTTTGTATGAAAAATCTAAACCGCTTAACTTAGACGCTTGAAATTTGGCATGCAGGTACCTTAGTAAACGTAAAGCTTAGTTACAACAGGATATTGCAAAAATCCCACGGGAACGGGAGTTAGCGGGAAAAAACATTTGTATGAAAAAATCTAAACCGCGTAAGATTGATGAAGGGGGTAAAACGGGATCCACGCGTACGAAGTCGCGGGCGGCCGCTAGTACAAAATATTTCTCTAAAAGTAGATTTCACTAACTCTTCGAAAAAAATCGATAGATAAATCGCTATGGTTTAGTTATGTGACATCTCTAAATCTTTCAAACTCGAAACGTCATAAGGATCATCTTAGGTGAAAAAGACTATAGGTTTTGTCAGTTAATGGGTATGAATGTTCTGTAACCAAACTATTGACTTATCTTTGAACTGATCTGTGAGTAAACAGCATGGGAACCAGTAAGCTCCTTAGTAATTTATGGGTAGAGATGGGTTTGTAGCCAGCTAGTTTGGATAATAACTGATTATTATCTATTAATAGCCATTATTAGCCATCCATTGGCTAGTAACCCTGCTATTAATAGTTTCTTACGTTTTTTCTTCCACCTTTAAAATCAAATCAATATTAAAATCAAATATTACTCAAAGAAACAAAAAAGAACTAAAAAACATCAATGTAATTTATATAAACGACATTGTAGTTAAAAAAGAATCTAAATATTATACAATAAAAGGAGAAACTGACTGACTTAGTGACAGATCAACACACAGCCTAAACGGCTAAACGTAGGCACTTGAAATTTGGAAGGGACGTAGCTTAAATACCGTAGAGGTGCACTAAGAAAGGAATTACCAAAATTCCCAAGGGAACGGGAATTAGCGGGAAAATCCTTTTGTATGAAAAATCTAAACCGCTTAAGTTAGACGGGGAACGGGAATTAGCGGGAAAATCCTTTTGTATGAAAAATCTAAACCGCTTAAGTTAGACGCTTGAAATTTGGCATGCAGGTATCTTAGTAAATTTAAAGCTTAGTTACAACAGGATATTGCAAAATTCCCACGGGAACGGGAGTTAGCGGGAAAAAACATTTGTATGAATAAATCTAAACCGCGTAAGATAGATGAAGGGGGTAAAACGGGATCCACGCGTACGAAGTCGCGGGCGGCCGCTAGTGCTTAATAACAGGCGATACTAAAAAATACGTAAAATACCCAGAAAATGTCAATAAAATCAAAATCAAAATCAAAATTATCTTTATTTGTTTAGACTAATTAAATTAGTTCTTGCAAATCGTCAAATGCTCTTAAGGAGCCTATACATGTCTCATTCTTTTTTTGCCCTACCAGCGCTTCGAGACAAACATTTGGCAAGTGCTGATAAATAATAAATAATAAAAACTCAGATATTTTTTGACTTTTTTTATCGATAAAAATAGGTTTAGTAGTTCCGCCTATTTTCATATATGCACTTTCCCAAGACTCATACTGTACTTGTACTGTACTGTAGGCGATTTAGATTTTTCATACAAAAGGATTTTCCCGATAATTCCCGTTCCCGTGGGAATTTTGGGAATTCCTTGTTGAAACTAAGCTTTCAGTTTACTAAGGTACCTACATGCCAAATTTCAAGCGTCTATCTTACGCGGTTTAGATTTTTTCATATATTTTTTTTATCCGCTGATTCCCGTTCCCGTTGGAATTTTGCAATATTCTGTTGTAATTAAGCTTTAAGTTTACTAAGGTACCTGCATGCCAAATTTCAAGCGTCTAACTTAAGCGGTTTAGATTTTTCATACAAAAGGATTTTCCCGCTAATTTCCGTGCCCGTTGGAATTTCGGGTATTCCTTTCTTAATGCACCTCTACGGTACCTAAGCTACGTCCCTTCCAAATTTCAAGTGCTAAATTTGTAAACTATGAAGGGATATGTTTAATCATTAGTATAACATTAATAGCAGGGTTACCATCTGAAATCGGCTATTATTGGCTATTTATGGCTAATAACTGCTTTTAATCCGTTACTAGCCAATTGCTATTAATCGGATTATTAGCACTTACCCATCTCTATTTATGGGCGTAACTTTTGAACTGCACCTAACAGCCAAATTATCGTTCAATTTTAAGGTATACTTCGTGGCTCGTTCTACCTTATCACAACGTTATCGAAACGTCCATCTCACGCGAGCCAGTGATCGATGATGAGTCACTGACACCTCCTATCTGTTATTATACAAATGATGAAAAATATTAATGAAATGCCCTCGACTTGGTGATTGACATGACAAATTACTTAAATGTTATTAATCCTTAGATAAATTTTGCTTTGTGTTTCTCTCAGAAAGGGAATAAGTATGCTTACTCTAAATAATTAGAACCTTTTTGAAACCTGACCTATTACGACATATTATCTCGTTCGGGAAAGTTCAATTGAATGGGTAGCATATACAATAAAATACATCTTGATCACAAAGGTTAAAGCTTGACAAAACAATATGTATGACGTAGTCGAGCATATAATAACTTTTGTAACTATCAAATTGTTATGTATTATTTTATCTTTTTTTGAATTAAGTAATAAATAAATATTACACTGCACCTCTAGTTTTATTTATTTGTTTCTCGTTTAATACATATTTTCGGAATTACTTATATTAAAATATAACATTTTAAATAATTTTAATTGAAAATAGTATTTTTATATTCTATTAATCATAATGACTCTAAGTTTAACTTAAAAACTTAAGTTAATAATTAGCGGAGCCTGTTACCTTGTGTTAAAAGTAACGTTAATTAATTAAAACAATCTTACAGGTACCCGAGGTATTCTCGATTGTTTAGTTTTGAATGTTTGAAGACATTTTCGAATTCTGATGTGTTTGAAAAATGTGTGAGTGTGTGAATTAATTACGCCATTGTTGCGTGTGTCGCTATCGCATTACAACATGGTTATTAAATGCTTAACTTCAAGGGGTGGTGACGATAACAATACAAAAGAGCAAAATTAGGGTAAAAAGAATTGCGTCATGTCCCACTGAAATTGGAATGAAGATTAATTTGCCAAGGTTCGGGACGTTACTTAAATTGTTCAAATACAAATAGGTATTAATATAATACATAATTTAATTACATATAACATTGTATAATAAGCCACGGCCGTGTATAAAAGGACGACTGCTTGCGCAATGATCAAGAGGACGCATAGGCCCAGAGTTCATATGTGATTGTCTTAACACTGCATTAGCGAGTTAGCGCAGCTTAATTGTAAATAAAGGTAAGTGCGACAATCGGAGCAGCGTGTTAGCAACACGGAACATTCGAGTGAATGCAAGCCGCCTCTATAAATACCACCGGCGCGCGGCGCGGAGTGCCGTGGACTATTTACTCCAGTACCTCTAGTAGGAAAAACTTTCGAGTTCGTTTCGTTGCGTATTCAAAGTGTCATCGAAAAATTTTGTATGAAAAATTAAACAGCGCCCCCTAGGGCGGCTATAATATAGGGGGCGCTGTTTAATTTTTCATACAAAATTTTTCGATGACACTTTGAATACGCAACGAAACGAACTCGAAAGTTTTTCCTACTAGAGGTACAGATCCTATTGTCGAGCGCTTTGCAACATGATTAGGGTAAATTTTATCTTATTTTTTAATTCATCTCATGCTGCTTAAGACTTTTCATCGGATGACACGTTGCTGTGTCATTTTTGAGCGCAACACTTGCATCAACTAATCTCGGTGTTTGGATATCTATTTGGATATTAGCATTTGAGTGTCTAGTTAGTGCACTAAATCAGCAGGTAGCAATCAATTACCTACTTTTGTACAGAACTCAGAACTAGTTTAGTCCTTTCGATCTCATTGTCTGGCGCAACCAGATATTTGATCTTACCAAGCTTTTTAACAGTGTCAATCATTTTAATTTAGAATTTATTTGCTTTCCAGACATTATTACTGACGTGGGCAGTGCCGGCAGTCATTGGCATCATCGTCAAGGATCCACCACCTACAGAACTCGATTACAAATACTCCTACAACATTGATGACCCGTCGACTGGAGATGTGAAAAGCCAGCATGAGGTTAGACAAGGAGATGTGGTGTCAGGATCATACACGGTGGTAGATCCCGATGGCACAAAACGTACAGTTGACTACACTGCTGACCCGAAGAAAGGTTTTAATGCTGTTGTTCGTACTGAACCAGTCAACAATGCTTATGTTCCTGCAAATAACGCGATTGATACTGGCTACGGATATGCGTCAGTTCAGCCTAAAGCTGTGTACGAGCCTGCCGAGCGCTACGAGCCTGCCCAGCCACAACAGCCGGTCAATTACGGTCCAGCTCGTTTGTACACAAGGGCTCAGTACCAACAAGAACCACAACCCATCTATTTCACTCCATCGAACGATGTAGCACCTGAAGAAGCGCTCTATAACCACGGACAGTATTTCGTACCTGCTCATAGAAAGTAAGACGTGTGTGAAGTTACTAAAACACTTGTGATATTATCATTTAAGGTAGGTTATTATAAAATAAATCGATTAAAAGTGATACTTTATACTTTATGATTATGCTATTTTCTTTGTAAAAAAGTGTTATAAATGAAATATTTTGTTTCAAACAAAAAAAATTCATTTTCTTTCATAATACTTAATATTGTATGTAAATAGAAACTGCTGGTATCATTAATGTACTTAGTATTGATTTAGGAGAGAGGTGCAAAGGGTGCTGGTTATGGAAAATAATGTATTTAGTATACGGTGGCTCTACATTGAGAAATGACATCTACACAAAAAGTGTTCCACAGCTAGTCTGTAATTAGTGCTATTCGTAATAATTTTGTAATAATTAGACAGCGACGCATTTTATGCTATTTTGAAACATGTAGATTAGTAGCCTAGTAATAAAAAAATTGGTAACGTCTAACATACATTAAACGTAGTAATTGCTTAGATTATAATTTAAAGAATAATTATGTAATGTAGGTATTTAGATGCTTTGCATTGGTCTAACAGTTGGTACGACTACGTACATCATCTATCATTCATTTCCATAATCTAAGTTACATTTAAAAAAAGTTACATTTATTTATCTAGCAGCAAAATAGTTCAAGCATTTTAACTTTTTAAAATGAAAATCTAAATAAAATACTTTAAGCGACAGCTTGTTATCAAAGATCCCAATGATATCACTGATGTAGAGTTAGATATTAACATAATATAGCATATCCACGATTCAGTACTTATGTATTTTATTTTATTTTATTTTATTTATTTGGTTCACCAACAGTTAATTACACCAATACAATTGTATAAATCTTAAGAAGAATAGGTACATGTTCAATGTATTAACTTATTACAGGCAAACACAGCATGCATTTAACGTGAAGACTAATATTATACATTATAATTTTATAATGATAGGTATAAATCAATCCAACAGACATGTGCTAAGTTTTAACAGAAACAAAGTTGTACAGATTTTTTACATTAATTAAGCAAGTAAGTATCTAGAGAATTTTATTTTCATGAAGACGTGTTTTCCGCATGTTCCGACATGTACGAGTTAACAATAAGATTAAATTTTATTTTATTTCCACCTAAAAATATCAAAACCAGTTTCGTAGTAGTGTCGACGTCCTTTACCATAAATAAACCTACGATACAGATAACTTCGATTACATTAATTAACGTAATAGGCCATAAGATTAAGGTTCCGGTACTAAAGTTGGAAACCACGGAGCGGTTCAAGGTCGCAACGAGATGTGGGTCGGTGAAGCGAGCCAGCGTGCAGCGTGTGTGTATTTATAGCTTTACTTCATTTTATAGTTTCTTATTCCATGTTTAATGTTGTGTGATCCCATGATGTGTGTTTGTGGTTTCCTTTGCAGTCGACTAGTACAAAAAAACCTCATGAGAGAAAAAGGTCAACTGCATATTTAGTCCCCGGGAAGGAACATAAGGAAGTTCGGAGTTTCAATTAAAAGAAAGAAAGCTTAAACGGAGCTTAGTAGAGGTCCCATTCTTTTCCCTAATTAGATACAATTTCGAAGAAAACGTAGTCAGTATGAATGAAGCTCTGTGTGGATTTCAACACAACCTACAAACCTTAATAAGGGTGGCAGCGCGATGGAGATTTCCTAAAACCTAACTATCGGAAATCTTTTCAAAAACCTACTTTACGAAAGCTTAGCTACTCGAGTGTTGAATAAAAGATAATCTCACTCTTCATCCTTCTATTCTTTCAATAAATAATATCTACAAAGAGTATCGTTAGAGCGGTGCGATGGGGTAGAGCTCGAACCAGTAGTCACAGCACGAGCACACTTCGGGGCAGCGGAGGGGAGTGTTTAATGAAAGACAATCTCAGTCTATATTTCTTTTATTTTCAATAAATATCTATACAAAAGGCGCGACGGGGCACAGCACGAACCAGTAGCCGCAGCCGCAGCGCTTGGGCACGCCCTGGTGTAGCCACATGTACTCCAGGTGCATGACGTGCTCGTTGCACAGGCACGCCATCAGCCGCGACGGGTTCGCGCTCGGCATTAGGTTAGGCCGCTCGCGGGTGCCTGGCCCTGAGAACACAATATGTTGATGATTACTTCTTTTAACAACTTGTCTGTGCGTGCACTTGCTGCTTATTTAAAAACATAAACATGTGAAGTTTTTATGAGCACAGCTGGGTAAAGGACGGACTCGCGCTCTTGATGGCGTCTCAGGGGAAGACAACAGGATTTTTGAAGACCACATGTCTCCCCTAGTGTAGAACGGATTGCATGTAGGTTCCATAAGCTCTAAGGATATAACCCAAATTGTTCTTTCTCAAATCTTGCCCTGCTTATGACTCTCTTATGACTTACAGAGTGAGCCCTCTAAAACTCGGGATGATCACAATTTATTTTTTATTTATAGTTTTGTCCCCTCTTAGAATTTAACATTTGCGGTCTTCAGTTTTCTTACAAACTCAATAAAACTGAAAACATTATTGAACATAGCACGCGAGAAAAACATAACTTACGTGCCTGCTAGGCGTAGAACTACAGACGAATCGTTAAGTGAATTCCGACGTATTCTCTGTGATCAAACAACAATTACCTCGTTTAATAGCTAGTATGTGGAAGGGGTCGCAGTTGCCCGCTAGATGGGCCAGCAGTTCCTTCTTCTCGATGCCGGTCACGTGGTCCAGCGGGTCGTGGAAGGCGCCGTAGAGCCGAGCGCCTGCGCGCCTCACGCCAGGCAAAACGCGCGACCACAACATTGCTTCTATGAAACCAATAGTTTTAAACTGGTGATACTATCTTTAAGTATATACGTTATACGTATAACGAATGTTTAAGGAAGCTTACCCAAATTATTTATTATTCCAAAGTTATAGAAATAGATTTATAATTTCACCGTCCTCGCAAGTTTGTTTAATTTTTGACGCTTTTGTCACACTGACAATGAAAATGTCAGCACCAAAAAGGGCTTTCCGTGTTTAAATTCAAGTACCTACATAAAAAAGGTTTGTTTAATAACAATAAGAAATACCCACTGAAGAAGAAAGGAAGAAGAACGAGAACTTTTATTACTATTTCATTTTTTATTATTACTGATTGAAGCGCATATTTATTATGTAACTTTAGGTAGACAACACACGTTGAAAATTGGTTTAATATGACATTTCCATTACAAATGACAATTTAAACAAGTGTTCAACGAGCTTTCAACTTTTTGTAACAGCCCCGTTTAGTTCATGTCATTACTGTATTACCCACATTACATCCACATCAGCTATCATCATAATGAACATAATACCAGCAAAATCTAAATAAAAAAGAATACAAGTAGGTACAACTTAAAAATTAAACGATGAGAGAGCATTATGAACGATTGTCAATTTGCGGTACCTACAAGTTAAAGAGTGTGTCGCGCGGGCTGCAAGGACAAAACACCCAAAGAAAGCAGCCGCATTATAATGCAAGTGATCTTTCTGCCCAAGATCAATCATAGCCTACTTATTCTCGTTTTCGTATTACACGTCCCGATTCAAGACGCCTGCAGTTCATAAAGAGCTTTTTACGTTTCGAAACATTTAAAGCGACCGGCATGCGCACGCCGCGACGTATAATGCAACGCCCGAGGCTTTAGGGAGGTGTATATAAAAAGTCCGACGAACACAATTACGGTACATTCAATTTGAGGTCTCCTCATTGTGAAGTCACTGTCATTCTATCAACAATGGCTTTTAAGGTAGGCTCCGTATTTTATAAGCTCTTAATACTTTTGCCACCAGAAATCCTGGCTTCGACTGAAAATCACACACTTTCATCTGATATCAATCAGCACATTAGGTACAAGCCTTATGAAGGTGTGATCCAGTGCTTCGGTTAATAGTTGGCAAGTTAAGCCCTCGCTTCCATTGGATATCAGTACACTTCATCCCTTAGATTTGTAACCTGACTGTAATTTGATAAGGCAATCTAAATAACATTTCTGCTTCCATTCCAGCTGGTAGTGTTCGTGTGTGCCATCGCCGCCGCGCACGCTGGGGTGATCGCTCCCGCTGCATACGCCGCTCACCCGGCGCCGGTCGCCTACGCCGCGGCACCCGTAGTACACGCAGCCCCTGCTCCACTTCTGCACTCCGCCCCCGTCGCCTACGCCGCGCCCGTCGCCAAGCTCGCCGCCGTGGCCCCCGTCGCTAAAGTCGCCGTCGAAGAATACGACCCCCACCCTCAGTACAGCTTCGCTTACGACGTCCAGGATGGCCTGACCGGTGACTCCAAGGCCCAGCACGAGACCCGCGACGGTGATGTCGTCAAGGGCTCCTACTCCGTCGTGGACCCCGACGGCACCAAGCGCACCGTGGAGTACACCGCTGACCCCCACAACGGCTTCAACGCCGTAGTACACAAGGAGCCCGCGCACGTGAAGGTCGCAGCTGCCCCTGTAGCCTACGCCGCCCCCGTAGCGAAGATCGCCGCTCCTGTTGCGTACTCTGCTGCCCCCTTGGTACACGCTGCTCCCCTTATCCACCACTAAACGCTATTGCAACTAGTCACAATTGCCATTAAAGACTTTATTTATTATAATGGAATGTATAAGCAATAAACGTTTAAAGCGTTAAAAGCCTTCTTTTAATCCTGCACACCACGATTTACGATAGATAGATGATAGTCCAAACATCCTAATTAGAAGTTGAAGTTTCAAAAGTTTATTAAAACTTATTATTATTTTTAATTACAATTTTGGTTTCATGTTAACCTGTAAAAATATTTTAAGTTGGTGAAAATAAATAAATAAATGTTTATAAACTAGGTAACCATTTTCCATATTTCCCACGTCTCTACGCACGTATAGGTATTTTTTTAATTCAAAGAAAACATCAGGGACAACAATAAGCTTTTCATGTGATAGATAAAGGAATAAAATTGGTGTTTAGAATTGCAGGAGGTGGATGATCTCCTAAAGGAAAAGCGCAGAGCAACTTCAATGCCAATCCAATCACAATTCATATCTAAACAGATATACATTATTATGTATCTACGACACACGAAAACTGACTGAACTGTAAATTCCTATGTGATAGATCATAATATTCATTGCATTATAATTAATTAAGAAAAATAATAATAAGGAAGTAATTGATCAGTACTTAGGTGTTTAGTAGCGAGTGTTGATTAGTTTGTGTTACTACTGACTGACAGTCAATATTCTGTATTTCAGCCAAAAAATCCTTTAAAGGTTCATAATGCAAACTTAACAAACTACGATATCACGATATGATGCTCTTACGGTGAGTATGTAGAGCATTTACTTGTAACAGAACAACGAGCAGTGGCGGTCCGCCCCGGGTGCCAAACATCAGGGGGTGACAACGGATAGGAGTGCCAACTCAGTCGCGGCAAATTAGTAGCCACTGAAAAAGCTCTAGTTAGTCTATACTCACCTTAATTGTAATATTAACATATGATACCTGTTTGACTATACAAATATGCATTACTGAACCTCAATAACCTCACTAGCACAAATGCAAGAAGTAGTGGATCTTGCGAGCTGTTTTATGGTATTTTTAAGAAAAGATGAAATCGACGTTGCTGGACTAAAAAATATACCTATACAGTAGCGCTTGATTGCTTAGGTCAATGTGAGAAAAGTTATGACTTTAGTTATGATTAACATCTGCATTTTAAGTTATCTTTTACTCAAAGAATAATATGATCATTCAAAATATCGTAAAATCAATTTTGATATTCGTATTTTGTTTGGTATTTACCCGTTCATAATGGTTGAAAGAAGGAAATCACACAGTTAATTTAAATTTAAAGCACATTATCGTTTTATCAACGAATAAAATATCGATTTTCATATTATGGTATTAGGAACTCGATATGAGTTCCCTTGACCAACTTCTCAAGTCCATGGACAGAACAATTAAATAAAACGTGTAGTCGAAAGTTCAAAAAAAAGTCATTTTTATTGAACAATCGTACTTATTATGACAACATAAGATGCCGTAGGGTTTAGCTTCATATGCCGACGTCTATCACTGATATTATGTAGGTAGTACTGTGGTACTATCAACTAACCTAAAATAAAATTTTGTTAAAAAACCTCTTAGGAAGCGTTAGGTAGACACATTCTAAACCTTTAAGATTTAAATGCTTATTGCTTTACGATCACTTAAACCTAATAATTTTTATGTTTGATGTTGTCGTCTCAGATACTTTTAGCATAAAAATATTTTTGATCATTTATTAATGATGCAATACCTACGACCGTAGTTACATTAAAAAAACAAAACGGTATTTAGAACATCCATTATAGGTACTTATATTTTATTGACATCCTAACGAAATTATTCAAAAGCAGGACCAGTTTTTTCCTGACTAATGCAATAAAACATTCAAACCATAATTGGTAATTGCTTTACTTTACGAGTTCTGCAAGTATGTATGTACTAAGCAATATTTTTTTATATTTGTGACCTAGTAGTCCTTGTGCTATATCAAGTACAATTGGATTATTGATCGGAACATGTCATGGGCGCGGGCGCAGCGATCTTAGAGCTCTCGCCTCGGGCGCTTTCCGGACGATATATAACCTCATGGCTGGCTCTCTTCGATATCATATTCATAACAACATCCAACCAACACACAACAAACATGGCTTTTAAGGTTTGTTTATAAAAACGATATATTTCATCGATATTATTAAAATGTTTAACAATTCTTTAAGCGTGAATTAATTTTAAAAATCGTGTTTAATTATTATTTTTAAATTGCAGTTTGTCGTCCTCGCTTGCTTCGTGGCTGCCGCCAGCGCCGGCCTGGTGCCAGCTGGCCCCGTGGCATACGCTGCTGCCCCGGCGTACCACGCCGCCCCCGCCTACCACGCTGCCCCAGTGGCATACGCCGCACCCGTCGCCAAAGTTGCCGTCGAGGAATACGACCACAACCCTCAGTACAGCTTCTCCTACGATGTCCAGGACGGTCTGACCGGCGACTCCAAGGCCCAGCACGAGACCCGCAACGGTGATGTTGTCCAGGGCTCCTACTCCGTGGTGGACCCCGATGGCACCAAGCGCACTGTGGAGTACACCGCTGACCCCCACAACGGCTTCAACGCCGTCGTCCACAAGGAGCCTGTGCACGTGAAGGTCGCCGCCCCCGTCGCCTACGCCGCCCCCGTCGCTAAAGTCGCGGTCGCCGCCCCGGTCGCTGCTTACTCCGCCGCCCCCGTAGTTCACGCCGCCCCCGTGGCTAAGTTCGCCGCTCCCCTGGCGTATGCTCAACCCGTGTACCACCATGCCCAACCCGTCTACCACCACTAAGCTGTGTTCGTAATATCAAAGACCAAATACAATGTAAGCAACCCTATTTATTGTTGTTAGATATAACAAAATATATACATGAATTTATAAATCTGTCTATACTTTTTCTTAAACTATACCTACTACCTAGGTACTACTTCCTGTTCCGAACTTTAAGAAACAAGTAAATTAAACTAGATAGGTACATTCTATACCAAGTAACTACTTTGTAAAATGGTAGTACCCCCTGCTAAGATTTTAAATTAATTAAATAAAAACACTAATTAAAATCGTACAATTAAAACCCAAAAAATGTCCTTAGTATCGTAGTAAAATACACAAACATGTTCAGACCATGTTCAAATTAAATTAGTAGAGTAGTATTTTACAAAAGTAAACAACATCAAAACATAATAAAGCACTTTATAATACCTAAAGTATGGAAAATAAGGGCTAAAGATTGTTTACATTATTCATCGTAATTAATTCTTCCCGATCTGGTGAAGCTCGCGAGAAGCATCAATAGAACAATGACAGATACATACTAGAAACAAATGATGAAAGTTCTTACAACACATTTATTTACATTTACGACGACATAAAGAAAAAATACTGGCAATGGCCGGATGAACAAACCGGAAGTAGGTGCTTTGTAGTGCTTATGTTCGCAGAGGATTAAGCTACAGCCATTGACCGAAAACATAGACCGAAAATGATATAACATGACCCGAATTTGTCACCCATTTGCACTGTACAGTGGCGGACTTAATGCCGGGTGGCATTATCTACCAGTTTCTCTAGCAGTAAGGTAATTTTATGAGTAAATCATATCATCCGAATCCGATATGATGATTACTTACTTCTTTAATTGTTCATAAGATTTATTTTATCACCACGATCATTTCAATCGATTGCAGTCTGGACATAAGCATCCCGTAGCAGGCAATGCCACAACACAAATCTAATTTCCTGTTTTTTTAATTGTCTTGTCTTTTTTGTTGATAGACAAAATCAGCCACGTCATACCTAGTTTGTATTTTCTCTAATCATTAAACTCTTCATATTTTCTTAGATCTGTCTACTATGCCTGCCCGAATAAGTGTTCGTCTAAATTAGCTGATGAATCATTTCAATGTGACAACCCTTTCAAGCGTCCATAATCGTGCTAGCCACAAATTAACACCACTTAACATGAAAATAAGGAATTCTTCATTATGTTTCAGGTTATTTGTTCCAATTTCATAATACTTGGCCTAAAGTCAAGAACGCGTTCGAATTTTCCGCCATTGACAAATTGCAGCTCATTTCCAATTGCGTGCACATCCATAGTGATGCGCGGGTACAATGCTAAGTGCGGTCTTGGCCGGTGTCACAACCCGCGGCTACTATATATACTTCGGCGGGCACTTACAGGAACATACTCACCTCTGACTTCGTCAACAACCCATCTTCAAACGTCAAAAAATGGCCTTTAAGGTAAATTTTCATTTTGGACCACACTAGAGAAATCATCATCTCATTGTTTCTTACAAATCATTAGCTTTGAATCAGATTCTTCTTAATAACCGATTTATAATATCATTCCAAATCATCTCTTTATAATTCAGTTCAAGTTTCATCTACAGGATCACAAACAGTCATTATTATCTATCTAATTAAAACCTTATCAATTTCTTAAGTTTTAATATGGTCATCATATCAATGAAAGCTAATTTCATACCCTATCAAGATTTAAACTAATTATAATAGATTGTTACATTATTTACTTCAGTTCATTTTAAGAATCCTGTCTCTAGTTTTAACCATTACAACAACTAATCCAAATCAATTAGAGTTTCCACGTGTAATTGTTGCTTAAAGTAAGTTGCCTAGGTATTTGTTCTTCTATTTGCTCATTTGGATGCGGGAAGCGTCGCCGGCGTCCTTGACGCGCCGTATCCTCGGCTTGTTTGTAATTTCTCCGCGCAGCGCTTGCGCAACTGCACTAGTCTCGCCCTCGCAAAACCGTGTCACTATTTCAAGTACAACTGTCGCGACGATAGACACATGTTATAATAATTACGGCGATGACTATCTACACTGACTGACCTTGCCAGAGGAACGATCCCTTAATAAATACTAGAAAATAATAGTTTTATTATGGGTTTTCTGATAGTTTATTTCATTTACAGATCGTCATCCTGTCCTGCCTGGTGGCATTGGCCCGCGCTAGCGTGGCTCCTGTGGCAGTGGCCGCCCCGGTAGCGGCCGCACCTGTCGTGGCGGCGCGCCTGGAAGAATTCGACCCTCTTCCCCAGTACCGATTCGGCTACGACGTGGCTGACGCCCTCACCGGAGATTACAAGAGCCAAACGGAGCAACGTGACGGTGATTTAGTGCAAGGCTCATACTCCCTGGTTGACTCTGACGGAACACGCCGCACTGTGGACTACACTGCTGATTCAGTGAACGGGTTCAACGCGGTGGTGCGCAAAGAGCCGCTGGTAGCCGCCGCTCCAGTCGTGGCCGCCGCTCCCGCTGTTATCCCCGCCCGCATCGCCGCCGCTCCCGCGGTTGTCCCCGCCCGCATCGCCGCCGCTCCTGTCGCCGCTCCCGTGGCAGCTGCCCCCGTGGTGGCTGCCCGCTACACCGCCGCCTACCCCGCTCCGTTCTCGTATGCGGCGTATACTGCCCCCGTCGCGGCCGCCTACACCGCTCCCGTCGCTGCCGCGTACACCGCTCCCGTCGCCAAAGTGGCAGCTTTAAGAACTGCGCCCTTCGCTTACGCTCCTGCTGCGCCTGTAGTAGTATAAACATCGACGATCTACTCAAACAAGGACTGACTTTTTAATGGCCAATTAAATTTTTTTACTCGACTATATCTTTTATTGGTGATCAGTGCGAATTGCTGGTCTGCGTAGGTTATTACATACCTCATACCTACAGAATCCCTATTTTTTTAAGTGTAGACTACATTTGATTTCACAAAAGAACCACTACGAGAGAATAATATTTTATTGTGGAAAGATTAATGGGGTCCAGTGTCCAAACTATAATTTTACGATCAGTAAAAAAAGCATTTTGATTTTTGATGATGGAAAAATTCTCAGTCAATCAATAACTATGTCAATGTCAGAGGACTGCCATAATTTTCAATAATTTTGAAGAAGATTTTGAACATCAAGAAAATTTTGTATATTTTTATTTGTAGAGGTTTGCTCAGTTTCCAAAATGCAGATGGAAGAAAAGCAATTATACGGTGCACTTACCGTGTACCGAGAAAGAGGCGCTTATTTGCGTCGACTGGAGCAGTTTGAAAAAGCCAAGGCATCGTTTGATGAAGCGTATAAGGCCGCTCCAGACGATGTGGCGAATCTGACCGGGCGCAGTCAGGTCTGCGCGGACGCCGTGCAGCCCGTGCAGGCGTACGCCGACGCCGAGATCGCGCTCAAGTTGGAGCCCGGCAACATGATCGCGCGCAACATGCAGGCGCGCGCCATGTACACCATGTCCGACTTCGAGAGGTCGGTGGTCATGAACTACCGAGGGGCCCGGGTTCGTCGTCAACCTCCCTACTTCATCGAAGGGATCAACCAAGGAGTGGAAACGATACAAGACTGTATCGGAATTAACGCCGGTAGTGTCATGTTAGATTTTCTTCCTTTGATAAAACAAAACGAAGCAGCGGGTGTCGATGAAAATGAACCACAAAAACCATTACACGTGTCGCGCATTCCACGACCGCTCAAAAAACGTAAGTTGACTCAAATGGAAGCACGTAAGCATTTAACGTTAGCACGTGTACTTGCAATGAAATACCTTGGCCCCATGGCTTACGATAAGTTTTTTCTTCAGGAACTTACTGAAGACCCTCGAATAATGTCTGCGAACTCTGGAGGTAGTATAGAACTAAGGGGAATTGTAAAAGAAGCCTTGCGATCTCTTTCCGAACGTCAGGACATGTTGCGAGCTCAACGTCCATACTACACTATTAAACTGGCTGAGAAAGCGGAGTCTAAACACCAGAACAAGTATAAGGAAGCTGTTCTTATTAAAGAGCGTGAGATTGGTGCTCGTACTGCTGAACGACTGTTGAAACAACTTGAGAAGAGCATGCGTGAGAATCGCGTCATGGACTTGATTGCACAAGCCGAACGCATGCAGATATTCCTTGACATGAAGACTCCGAGGACACTACCCGACAAAGAAATTTACACTGATCGGTTATACAGAGCTGTCGGTGAAGGCTACTTGTCTCAGCATAGACTCTCGTACACGCTTAGCGAACGGGGTAACAGACGCAGAATTGCTTTCCTTATGGGTTTGCCAGTGGGCCGTCCACAATCATTCGATTCTGTTATGGCCAATTATCCATACAAGTTCATCGATATAAAACAGGCTACAGAAAAAGTCGTGGCGACTTTAGAGATGTGCGAGAACTCTACAATGAAATGTTGGCTAATGTACGAACTTTCACGGTTGCTCTGTACACAAAAGAATTACGCTCTTGCCAAATTCTATGCAAAGCGCTGCCAACGCGAAGCTCAGGAGCTGGGTAGTGTGACCTGGTGGTTGAATGGATGTTTCGTACTAATGAGTGGTGATATGCAACAAGGAAACGCTAACGAAGTGCGTATACAAGTGGAAGAGGCTTACGAATGGTCTAAAAAGTTGCAAGATCCGGAAAGAGTGCAAGCTTTCCTTTGTAAATGCGCGGAAATGGCGGCGGAGACAGTGACCGCGGACGAACGTAAAGCGGTTGTACAGCGTGAGAAACAGATAGTAGGTGTAATGGACGAACAGCAACGTGTAGAGACGCAGGTGCTGTTCAAGCGCATGTCGACGGTGCCGACGGGGCGGCGCTTCTCCGTGCTGCCGAGTAAGCCGCAGGCGGGCGAGGTGCGCCCGGAGCGCCGGCGCCGCCGCCAGCGCGGGCTGTCCGTCATCCCGGGCCCGGAGCAGGCTCTACCACCCCCACCAAAGTCTGGTGTACTCGGGTTCCAAGTTTTCGATATCTAATCTTATTTTATTACTTTTTAAGTTGTATACCTACCTTCTTATCAAAATTGTAATTTGTTATTTCGCTATATTTGCTAGTAAATTATGTTCATTAATAAAACCCTCTTTTCTTATTATAAATAAGTTAATCAGGCATGCGAGGGACTGTTTAACTAATGATATAAGACAATATGAGTCTAATGAATTATTATAGCTAGTGTAAAAAATAGTCAAAACGTTTAAATAAATAATAATTTATTTACATTATGGCATTCAAAGTTGTCTATAAAATCAATTGACTTAGTGGTGGTAGAGGGGAGCGGAGTAGGCAACGGGGGCCGCGTGGTAGGCGACGGGGGCGGAGTGGTAAACTGGGGCGGAGTGGACCACGGGGGCAGAGTGGACCAAGGGGGCAGAGTGGACCACGGGAGCAGAGTGGACCACGGGGGCGGCGGCGTAAGCTACAGGAGCAGCGTACTTAGCGACGGGCGCGGCATAAGCCACAGTCTTGGCGACGGGAGCGGCGTAGGCGACGGGGGCGGCGACTTTCACGGCAAGGGCTTCCTTGTGCACGACGGCATTGAAACCGTTGTGGGGGTCAGCGGTGTACTCCACAGTGCGCTTGGTGCCATCGGGGTCCACCACGGAGTAGGAGCCCTTGACGACATCACCGTCGCGGGTCTCGTGCTGGGTCTTGGAGTCACCGGTGTGACCGTCCTGGACGTCGTAGGAGAAGCTGTACTGAGGGTGAGAGTCGTAGGCTTCGACTACTTTGGCGACGGGGGCGACGGCCGCGACCTTAGCGATCGGGGCGGCGTAGGCCACGGGAGCGGCGTACGACAGGGGAGCGGAGTAGGCGACGTGACCGGTAGGGACAATGCCCGCGCAGGCCGCAGCGACCAGGCAGCTGAAGACGACGAACTGAAAAGAAACGAAATATTTTTTATTATGATTGTATTTACTTTACAGGTCAGATAGAATTTTACATTTTATTTTATTTAAATGCACTTATTATTTAATTATTGTTATACCTTGAATGCCATTTTTGGTAGTAGTAATGTCCAAGAGTGAGATTGAACTGCCAAATCGAGTGCACGCTCTCATTTTATATTCGTCGCTTGTCCACCGTGACTTTCGGCTTTGTGACGTCACGCGATATGGGCCGGTATCGAATCCGCACTTACGAGGAGCTTATTGAACTTTCGCTTTTAATTGAGGCGGTAAGGCAAGGTCGCGGTCTTCGCCGGAATGCGGCCGCCTGCTCTTGTTTCCTCGCACTCGCACATTATAGCATTATCCGTAAGGTCGTCGTCATGCGAAAAAGTTTAAAATTAGTTTAGCCTTTTAGTGTTCGGACTTCGGACTTCTTCCTACCGGGTTAATAAAATAAGTTATTAGTGAATTAGTACGAGCTTAAATGGTGCATCCACTTATTTTATTTCAAACTTATTTTTAGCTTTTATTCAGTTATTGAAACTTTTGAAACGAATGACTATGAGTTGATTTTACCTGTGAATTTACTGTGTCTCAAAATCATGAGCTTTTTATTGAAAATGTTTTATAGCCCTATTCTTTTTGACAACATGCTGTTTTTCAGAGATTTTCTTATAAGTAGGTATCTGTGTCAAATATTTTTGTGTAGAAAAGTAAAGCAAATATTCAGTTCAATTCATTTAATAGAAATAGTATAAATAACAACCATACAAATCTAAACAATATACAAAAGTAACACAACAAAATTGTAATAATTCATCTAGAAGTAGTAAGGACTAGGTAGCCTGGGGGCGAAAAATTGTGCTGGGGCGGGCGCGTGGAAGTGTGCACGGGGGAGGAAGGGGCCTGGGGCGATCAGGGGTGCGGGGGCGAGGGGGGCGGGTGCCACTACTGGGGCGGGTGCGACAACAGGGGCGGGCGCTACCACCCTGGCGGGGGCGGCGACGACGAGCGGCTCGCGGCGGACGACCGCGTTGAAGCCGTTGAGGGGATCAGCTGCGTAGTCGACGATCCTGCGGGTGCCATCGGGGTCGACGACGGTATACGAGCCGGTGACTAGGTCCCCGTTCCTTTGTTCCTGGTGGCCTTTGTAGTCGCCTGTGAGCGCGTCCTGCACGTCGTACCCGTAGGCGTACTGGGGGTAGGGGTCTAACCGCGCTACCGGGGCCACTGGCACCACGCTAGCGCAGGCTGCGCCGACCATACAGATGAATACTACAATCTGAAACAATTTCATAAGTATTTGGTTTAGTTTGCCAGAGTACAAATAATAAATGGACGAAGGATTTTATCAGACGGCACATCACATTACACAAAGCAAAACAAATAAGTTGCCAAAACAAGATTTATTCGATAGATAAGTCTGAATGAGACATTACAACATGTCATGGGCCCGTGCGATTGTTCATATTGTGCCCATCGGTTCAATCAATACGTGACGTTATTTATCTATCGCCTCGTTACCAGCGCGGTTGCGCAAGAGTTGATGCTTCTGCACTTTGGCGTGCGCTGTATGTAAACACCGAGTAACTGACCGAGACGTACTCATGTACTTTTTTATCGTAATCTTTTCCTAAGACAATTACTATGGGCTAAGGAGTAAGGACCTAATTACATTGCAAAATAATAAAAGTTTAAGTGCAAGGTAATGCGTGGTAGAGTCCTATCTTTTGATTTTAATTCATAACATCAAATCTGTCGCGCGGCTCATATTGTGTTGAGGATTGTGTAGGCTGCTCATTACCACATAATAGCTGATCGCTCTGATAAAAAGTAGAGTTGCTGAAATAATCTTTTTAGCCACGTCACGAGGTTACTACTAATTTACATAATTATAATGGCAGATTACACTCGTCCCGTAAATAATAAAAATAACCAAAAAATATGTAAATGTAAGAACAAAGGACAATTTGGGGATAGTCTCATTGTTATGGAAGGTACGAAACGAAAGCGCACTGTCGGTTAGAGAGAAGTGGTGTCGCAAAGCGTCCCGATATGGATCGCGTTGGTCAATCGGCGTGCGCGCATGACTAGCAGGGCTGTTCTGGTAATGGATAGAAGCATTTGTGTGGTGAATAATTTACGTAATGCACTTGAAGGTGCACTTTTGATTCAATATTGCACTTGAAGGTGATCAGATTTTTCCCCTAATAAATGAAAATAAAAACAATAATTAATTAAAATCAAAACATTTCCGATTACCTATAATGTTCAGGTTTTGGTAATTTGAAGTTCAAAAGCATCTTTTTGTTATTCTTGTCTAGCTTGAAAATCTATATTTTCATGAGTGAAACTTTATTTGGTCAACCCTAACAAACGGCATCGGCGCTGCTCCTGCTCTGAATCAAATAGCGAGTTCGCAACATGTCTCAAAAACACGATTACAATATGCCCACGAACTCCCCTTTCAAACATTTCCACGGTAATAAATCTACAGTCACACTTGTTCCGACGGTCAGGTGGTCTTGTTATTTTGTAAGGGAATCCCCATTCATGTGAGCTTTCAATCTAATTTTTATCATTTGTATCACCGACTAAATAAATGATGATGAATGATCACGGATATCGACGGGCAAAATTAATAAAAATATTTGTAGTTAAATTAAATTAATTTGTTTTTACTTCATTGTGAACTTTAATAAAACGTAAAATGCTTTTAAACCACCGAATCACCGAAAGCAATCTAACTTGTTATCACTTTTAACACTTTATCCGCACAATGCACTTTTTTGTTGTTTGGGGAGTTCCTGCAGGATTGTCCGGGAGTCTTACCTTGGTGTCCATGTCTGCTTGTGTGGGGTAGTGAGCAGAGTCCTCGAGGTCGAGTGTGGGTAGTCCCGGGCACCAGCGCGTTTTATATCGAGCGATGCGTAACTCAGGACGTGAGGTCCATACGGACGGCTCATTGAAGAAAGTGCTTCGGTGTTACGCGACGCTCTTGCGATACATGTTGCGTTTTGCTGACTGGCTTTCTTCGTGATATATTGGGGTTGATCAATTCCGGGTTGTTTTCAGCTTATTTTACCTATTTGTGATGTGAATTGCTCCCATTTAGGACCATATCCTCGGACATTGTAAACCGAAATTAGTAAGCTCATCATTATTTTTAGTAGGAGTCTCTAAGCTGGATGTTCAGGAAATAAGAACAATATTTATTGCCGCGACATCAATAACCCCGATATTGAACTTTAACCCTTCAACTGGTAAGAATAGAGAAAAATATTTTTTAATTGTTTTGAACCTCATTGTTATTATCTCACTAAAATATTTAATTATGTTAGCATCAATTCTGCCATCAACTAAGCTCACCGGGCGCTTTGATTTTCTGCCTTGAATTTACTTGGACAATCCCATTCTGAAATTTTTGGAATCGAGCCTTTGAAACCATGGGTTTTGAAGAGTTAATTTCTGTACAACCATCGGAAAAATGGACAATGAATGGAAAAGTAGTTGGATAAGTAGAAGTACCTACATAGTTGTGGCATTTACTAAACATGTGGATCATTGTTATCTTTAAATAAATAAATTGGAATGAGGGTTTTCGCGAATGAAAAATCCGCCAGATGGCAATACGTAGACGCGAGATCCAAATGCTGCATGATTGGCTATTTTTGACATGACATTGACAGATATGTCAAAATCCACCAATCACGCAGCAGTCAGACCCCACATCCACGTCCCGCCATCTAGCGGATCTTTCATTCGCGAAAACCCTCATTGAATATCCGTAGCGTGGACAGGCCCTCCACTAGGTGGACCGACGATCTGGTGAAGGTCGCGGGAAGAGCCAGGAAGCGGGCAGCGCAGGACTGGTCGATATGGAAATCCTTGGAGGAGGCCTTTGTCCAGCAGTGGACGAACGAACGAAATGAATTTATTTATTTATTTATTTATTTATATGGCATACCAACAACATATATATTATACTCTTATGATTAACATTTATGAAGATAACATTTCTGATATATATTTGAATGAATATTATCAATCCACGCCATTTAAACCTGTCAGGTACTAACAAATCAGGCTGAATATTCTTATTATAAAGTGATCTTTGATTGCAAAATAGAACAATCTTGATATTATCACGAGACCGTTCACTATTGGTTTTGATAGGTTTGTACATATACAAAGAGCATGTTCCAAAAAGTTCTTAGGTCTTTTATAGTACCAGATTTTGCTACTCGGGCCCAATTTAAATATTTTTTACCTCCATCGACATTATCACGGGTCTTTCGTGATTTCGCCCCACGAGTTATTCGACGTGCGGCCGTGTGGGGCGAATCATCCAAGAGCTCTTTTTGGACGGGTCTTAGGCTCTTAAGAATTTGATCTCAGTTCGATTCAAGTTTCCATTTTCATTTTGACATTGCATTAATTTTATCAACTTACAAATAAATACCTGAATAGGGTTGCCAGGTCCAAAATCACAAAAGCCGGACTTTGTGCTTCATTTGGCCGGACATGTGCAATTAGTGTCAGTTCATGAGTGAGTACTATCATCATCGGTTACTATCCAACATCCTGATGCGTGCGCTTTATATGATTCTGTGGCTCGACTTTCGCCTAGCGCGGCAACCAAATAAAAAGCCTAACAAAAGCCGGACAAGGCAATATTTGGCCGGACAAGTCCCTAAAAAGCCAAACATGTCCGGCTAAAGCCGGACGCCTGGCAACCCTATACCTGAATAGACATTTTAAAATAATCACGTTTCGGAAATAACACCTTAGAATACTTTCGTTGTATATCACCTACTTTGCGAGTACCCATCTACTACTCTACAAAAGCTATTTTATTTTCTACGCTTAGGTAATATTATAAACAGGAAAGATTTGACTGTTTGTTTGTATTGAAAACCTCCGAAATTACTGCGCCAAATTAAAAACAATATTACACCATTAGAATCCTAGTCTATGAGTAGTTAAGTAGTATCATAAACCATCATCATTATTCATCATCATCATCATCATATCAGCCATAGGACGTCCACTACTGAACATAGGCCTCCCCCAATGCTTTCCATGTTGATCGTTTGGCAGCGGCCTGCGTCCAGCGCTTCCCTAGTATCATTATTTCTGATGAACATAGGTGTTATGAAATTTTAATGATCAATTATGATAAGTTAATAAATCAAAAAGTAACCATAATAATAACCATAATTAAAGATCAAAACATAACTGTTGAATCAAATTCAGAAGCTCCTTTATAATATGTATAAACACAATTTACTTAAAGCTTCGTGAAAGCTCGAAAGTGCCTAAGTAGGTAATTTTTACTCGTAATTAGTTTATTTATTATTTTTGGGTTTTCCTATCAAAGTACTTACTCGTAGATAGGTAGTAGTAAATAGTAGAACTGTAGCTTTGTAGGCATAAATTCCTGCATGGATTTTGATGCTGTTTAAGGTTTATACAGTATTATAGTATTTCTGAGGTGGTGATGCAATACAGTTACTAAATCATAACTCGGTAATGGCAAATGGATATGAAAAAAGAAGTGTGGTGATAACTGAATATAGTTGACAAAAAATAATAAATACCTAATGGTGGGTATGTAGTCTATGTAGGTCATTGTAGGTAGATGTAGAGCTAAACTATTATTTTTGTTATTGGGATTTTTGACCAGAAATGAGTACTCCATAACTCAAGAATTAACAGCTCTGTTTTATTCCATACAAAAACAAAAAAAACTTAAAACTATATCATACAAAAATCAAGTCTTCAAAAATGAGCCATCAAGTCGGTAGTCTTATCATTCTTAAGGGTAACGGTAGCCGGCGGCGACGGGTTCCACGATCTTGGCGGGAGCGGCGCGCACCGGGGCGGCCACGGGCGCGGGCGCTGCGGCCAGCCGCGCGGGCGCCGCGTACACGTTGGCGGCCGCCACGGGAGCGGTGTAGGCCGCCGCCACTGGGGCGGTGTAGGCCGCTGCCACTGGGGCGGTGTAGGCCGCTGCCACTGGGGCGGTGTAGGCCGCAGCCACTGGCGCGTTGTAGGCGAAAGGACCAGCATACGATGTGTACGCTGCCGCTACCGGAGCGGAGTACGCGGCGTACGCAGCTGGGACTGGTGCCGCCGCCGCTACTGGAGCGGCATAGCGGGCCGCTACGACGGGAGCGGCAACGGGCGCGGCGGCATAGCGAGCGAACACAGGACCGGTGGAGTAGGCAGCGGCAGCGGCGACGGGGGCGGGGGCTGCGGCGTAGCGGGCAAAGTAGGGAGTGGCGGTGTATCTCGCAGAGGCGACGGCGACAGGGGCGGCAGCGGGAGCGACGGCGTAGTTGGCAGCGTATACGGCAGGTTGGGCAACGGGAGCGGCGGCAAGGCGAGCTGGAACCACGGCGGGCTCGGCGACTACAGCGGGAGCGGCGGCGACCAGAGGTTCTTTGCGCACTACAGCGTTGAAACCGTTGACGGAGTCGGCAGCGTAGTCGACAGTGCGGCGGGTGCCGTCGGGGTCCACCAAGGAGTATGAGCCCTGGACGAGGTCGCCGTTGCGTTGCTCCTGCTGGCTCTTGTAGTCACCGGTGAGGGAGTCGGCGACGTCGTAGCCGAACCGGTATTGCGGCAAGGGGTCGAACTCCTCGAGGCGTGCGGCGACCGCGGGGGCGGCGTAGGCGACGGGAGCCGCCGCGATGGCCGCCGGGGCCACGCTGCCGTAAGCCACGGCAACAAGGCAAGAGAAGACCACCAACTAGAACAATTAATAATATTACAGACATTTACCACTTTATAAATTATTTTCACAATAATTTTCCAAACAAATATTTATTGAAAATCCAGAGCTTTTTTGCAGGTTTTATGAATTTCCACTATAACACTTTTATCACAATCACTTTTTTCACACTTCACGATATCAATCCACAGGTGTTCCGTACCTTGAAAGCCATTTTGTTTGTTGAGTTGTGAACAGGGGTGCTTGGAGCAGTGAACTGTACCCCCTGTTGGTGCCTAACGCCATTTATAGTCGTTGAAGTCTCGCGCTTGCCTCATCCCGGCCGCATCTCCAAATTTAAATATATTCAAGTACGCACGTACGAGCCTGACCGATGGGACTGGACAATGCCACAGACAAAGCAGCTACTTGTGCAACCGTACCGGGCCTATGAAACATCGCGGTCACGCCAATTCTTCGGTTAATCCTCAAAGCAAGTTGTTTTCAGGGGGCACATTAAGCGATCTTCACGGTGAGGCTACGCTGAAATGAGACGTCAAGGAAATGCGAAAATATTCGCAGAGAAATTGCTAGTTCCATTGTGTTTGCACTGCTATTCTATCGAATGCATATTTTTTGGGTCAAAAGACTTTTGTATGGTGTGAAAGTAGCCGGATTCTATTTCTGTTGAATTATTTTCTTTATTATTTCCTTTATATTGCGCTCATATCCTTTTTACAGCTACCACAGGCTGAAAAGCTTTTCATACATTTCATCTATACTATCTACACTAATATTATAAAGAGGAAAACTTTGTTTGTTTGTTTGTTTGGTTGTAATGAATAGGCTCAAAAACTACTGGACCGTATTTAAAAATTCTTTCACCATTCGAAAGCTACATTATCCACGAGTAACATAGGTTAACTTTAATACAAGAAACAAAAATAAACTTGCCGTTCCAAATTTCAGATTGCATAAGATTGGTAATTCATTTATGGGAAAATGTATTAAATTATTTAATAAATTACCACAAACTGTTGTAGAACTACCCATTCATAAATTCAAAGCACATATTAAAAGTACCTTAATGAAAAAGGGCTACTATAAAGTCGATGATTATTTAAAAGATAAAAATGTTTGGGATACGTTACTGCCTAGCTCGCATAAATATTTATAACTTTGTACATTTTAAAGCATGTAAACCTTTGAAAAAGAGGCTGACAATAGTGACTGAGTTTCTTGCGCTGCTTCTTCTCAGCACTGGCCCATTTATTGTCCTGAAGCAGTGGTAGGGTTAATACTGGACGTGTAAAAGTGCTTTTTTTAAGCCTATTTACAGAAATAAATGAGTTTTAATGAGTTTTTTTAGTTTTTTTATTTTGGAAAAAAATAGGGTTCCGTAATATATGTAGATAATGTAGTCCACAATAAGACACTACCTACGACTTAGTCAGTAATCAGCTTGTTGTACCTACTATGGATTTTATGTAATTTCAAATTATGTAGGTTTCCAGGCTCCGATCCTGAATTGAGATTTTTGACTTGAGCGTGCTCATTGAATCTTGTAATCAAGTAGTTATGAGCTTTTCATATTAAATTCATTTTTGAGTAGAAAATGAGCACGTTCAAGTTCAAAATCTCAATTCAGGATTCGGACACAAAGTTCATATTCTAAATCAACCATGCATCTGCCGACAAGCCCAAATCTATGATTGGTTAATTGAATTCAACGTGGACTAATCACAGATTTGAGTCTATAGATTCTTCAGTTTAGGCCTTAGTTTAAGACTCAGATCATAGAAAGGGAATCTATGATCTGAGGTTTAAGACAACTTGAGCGTCGTTACAGAATAATCTGCCTAAATAACCACAATATTTTGTGAACAACTTCGTTCTCTATCACTGTAGAAAGGTAGAGATTTACGATTAATGTGTGATTGATATCCCAATAACTACGAGTGGTATACTCAGCAAAACATTTATGTAAAGCTAACTAAAAATTTACAATGATTTTAATAAATGTTTCTCAAATAAAAATGCGATTCGATTTAGCGCGACTGTAATTACATCTAGATTTTATTGGTAATCAAATAAATAACATTTCATTGAAAGCAGACGGCCAGTTCTGGGCGATAGTGATCCAGTTTAGTTCGGTGGACGCGTTTCTGCGTCAACGACATTTAAAACCAGCTCGGACATGAGGCGTCTGCGCAACATGCAATGATCTTCAAGGATTGCTTACATATTTATCTTCATGTACATATGACCAAGATTAATAAGATTTTATCCTGTGATTTTATCACTACTTGGTACTCAGATATTAACAAATCACAGCATGGATTTACATATTAATGTGCCATCTGAACAGAAACGTACTACCTACATAGATAATAATTACCGTCTATATTTTTCAGGGTAGATGTTCAAGATGATGTTCAAGAAGATAGATGTTCAAACTCCAGGCAGTTTGAATCATAAGTTTTTTCTAGTGTAGGAGAGTAGACTCTTGTGTATTCAAACTTTTACGAGCATTATATTGAAGTTGCAGTGTTGGGAACGTGAGGATTATAGTCCCATTTATGGCTTTATTAACCGACTTCAAAAAAGGAGGAGGTTCTATGTTCGGCTGGTATGTTTTTTAGGTTAGGTGATTGATGGGATAGTTCATACATTTTTTTTTTCATTTAACTTGGCATAGTTATTTAGTCTGATGTGTACACTGTACATGCTGTAACAAAACGTAAGATGGTAATGATCGCAACTACGGTCATTCACTTTCGCAACAATTAAACGCTTAATGAAGAACATAGGCGTTTCTATAGAAGTGGACGAGTGTAGAAAGCATGTGTGTCATTGTCGACGAATTTGCATTACAATGGACAGTCTTCAGATCGCGCGCAAGGACGCAAGGTCACGTGCCTCTGCACTGGTTCAAATTCCATGAGGGTTTGGTGTTCATCTAATTTAAATTTTAAACATACATAAAAAAAGAACGTAAGTTTAGGAACTTCTTTATGTTGATGCAGCTAATTGTATATTATGTCCGACATAGATTGGTTCAATATGAAATGTAGGTGTGCATGGTGCATCATAAAAAGCTCATATAGCGGTAACTAAAGCTCTGTCTTCCGCTCGTCGAGTTCGTCATATTTACTTATTGTATTATTGTTTTAGGTAGGTCATTTTTAAACCATTACATTTCTGAATGAATACCTAGGGCTCTTCACTATTTTTATCTGAAACCATAACTCGAACAAGTTGAAGCTGTTTTACTAGATTGCTACTACATAATGGTATTCAGGAATTCGAAAAGAATGAAAGTGAAAGACAGACAGACATTTAACAAGCCAGGCAAGCAATTATTTCACCAGCTGTCTCACATGAATGTTAAACAGGTATCGTCTAAGGTTTGCCGAGATCTTAGATATGGAACTATTACCACTATAACTGTCGGCCCACACCTTAAAAGGAGTTGATCTTCTAAGCTCACTTAGAATACGTGTTACGAATTGGAAATATTGTGCTCTGTATAGTTAGAATGAGTAGCTTACCAAAACACGTAAATGGGGGCGTTGCTAACACGTATTTTCAATGTCTCATTGTCTCTCTTTTTGGAATTTAAAATATTAAAGTATGTTGCAGAATAAACCTCCTGGTGTTTTGAAAAATAAAATTTTCAAGGCGAATAATAATGTAATGTAATTACAATTAGTTCCCTACTTGTTACAATATAACGTATTAGTACCACTATCTCCTATTTCACTGAAACTCATTTAAAATAGCGTCAAAAAACGTAAGCGTTATCATTATTATACAAAGTAAGTATGCTAAATGGCAACCATTTATTAGTTCGCTGGCATTGGCATCGGCAAAAATCATGTTACTATGTCAAACTTCCCGCCCGCCCCACTCCGAGCGCATGAAAATGCACGACAGGCGTTTTCCCGAGTTGCGCACGCGCGTCCTTCAGAAGGCTGCCAGGTGTTGCGCAACGATAAATGCACGCTTGATACGCGCGCGACATCTCGCGTGTGTTGCTCATAGATATCGGTTATTGATTTCTAGGTTCAATTTATGCTAATAATGTTTGGCTATTTGTGGGCATAAATAAATAGCTTCACCAATCTATTACGAGTAAGAGTTGTTGATGCAAACGATAATTAATTATTTTATCACAATTGCCAAATGCCAAAACAATATTAACCATTCTAAGGCTGGGTTGCACCTGTGGTTGTACCTACCATCTTACTTTAACTTTAACAAACGTCGAAAATCTGTCAAACTCCATACGAAAACAACCGTTTATCGTCGTGGGGCCTAAGCCTAAGACGAACATTACTTTGATTTGCTTAAATTTGCAGAGACTGTCTCTAATGAAATTAACAAACCGTAAAACACAAAATTAAATGTAATCTACACACCAATGACTTCATCAACCAAGTTACAAAATGTCGCACTCAAATGTCGTTTGATAAAATATGTCCCGCGACACAAACGTCGAGGTTGCCTGCGTAATAAATGCTTCCAGTTAATTAAACTTGGTATTTGAGTAGTCAACTGATGTCCTGTGCTCCTGTCGGCCTTTTCGACTTTACGAGTATACTCGTACACACTCGGCATGAGAAACATTCACTTTTAAAATCATTAGTGACACTTCATCATTATTTTTAGCTTGATTTTAAACTTAAACTTTAACTGACGATTTCGTAATATTGGGAATATTCTTTATTTTGTTTTACTCGTATCTTATTAAAAGGGCTTTTTAGGCAAATTCAACTGAAGTTCATTTTTTATACACTTTCCGACTTCGTCATAAGGTACCTGATAAAATACAAATGTAGGTATGCTTAAATATGTTAAAAAGAATTAACAAAAAATATTTTTGTTCTATTTTTTTACGAAAATTACTAGCCTAGGTATAAATTAATAAACAATTAAACATGTTTCTTCATATTGTGCAACCTGAATTTTTTCAAAGTATGTACCTAGTTTATGACCGCCTGAAACCTTTCTACAGCGTCGGCGGCTGAAGAGGACAGTTTCTAATGTCGTATTCTTGAAACGAATGTCGAAGTTATTAATTATTGCAACCTCAATTACTCACCGGAATGGCAAATTGCATCACGATGTCTGCCGCGTCAGACCCTATTGACATTCAGTGCGTCCGCGCAGCCGCAGCCTAAACGCTTTCCATGACAATATTTCTCAGAACAGGCTCAGGTTAAGTAACTAAACTAGAACAAAATGTGATAGGTGCACAAGGATACTGCAACAACGCATTACCATATGAGTGAGGTCATACCATTGC